ATTTGTATATTTGATGATTGGTACTGTTCGATTTTGAGTGATTTTGTGTGCAGTCATCCTGAATTATCCGAATTGATTGCGCACACGATTTTCTTTTCTTTCTCATTTTAATTTTGTGGGAAAATTTAGATAATTAAATTAGTGTTTTGTACGGTGGATTTGGAATTTGGGATCCGATTAGTGTATCAACTTTTCATGACCAACGAGTTCATTATAAATGCTAAATTACGGTGGTAAATTAAAAAAAAAATCCATTTTTTTCGATAATTATAATCATTATTGTCTTACATGTCCACGAGCAACTTCAACCCATTGTTATCAAATCGGGTTATCAAATACTCATTTGATGATAATCAGAATTATACTTTGATATCTCTATACAACTAGTGAACTCCAACCAGAATTATCAAAAAAACAATTATCAAACAAATTTATGATTATTTATTTTTTAATTTATTTTAAATAACCATACAAATCGATTTTTCCGGTAATCTATCCTCAAAATCACTTTTCAAAACAGAAAAAATAAAATTATATATACATAGAGATTCTTTTTTTTCGTGGAACTTTGTTGAAGCTCTAGAGAAAAAAAAATTATGTTGAGATTTTTTTTCAAGTGGAAATTTGTTGAAGACGTAGAAAATTTAATTTTATTCTGTTGAGATTTTTACGTAAAGAAAAGAAAACTCAATTCTGTTGAGGTTTTTCTTTTTTACACGTGCTCCTATTTTTTAGGAGAATATTTGATAATCATATATTTGGGATGTATTTTTACTTCCCGATGGATGAATTATCAAAATAGAACTCTATTTTAAAAACCCCATTGGAGGAGAGAGTTTTTAAATTTGGAGAGTCAAATGGAGGTTAAGGGATTTGATAACTCATTTAATAACCCCGTTAGAGTTGCTCTTAGGTGTCAAATTTACATAATGAATGATGGGTTTTTTCGTAAGACAAAGAGAGGCTGGTTGAAATTACTAAAAAATGTGGGGTATTTTTGTAATTTAACTTTACCTCTGGGTCATGACCGTAAATTTACACTGTTATAAATTATAGATTGTCGATAATATTTCAAACAGAGAAAAGGAAAAATGCAATTAATTTCCATGAAAATATAATAATAATAATAATAATAATAATAATAATAATAATAATAATAATAATAATAATAATAATAATAATAATAATAATAATAATAATTACGGCCACCTCCCCGAGGTAAGATCAAATTATGAAAAAAAAAACCTTTTGTTTGGATAATTACAACTAACCCCTTAATTGTTTTACGAAAACCCCCTCGTTCAATAGGTAAAATTGACACAGTAATTAAGGACGTATAAGACAACACATAGTTGAAAGGTGGTTATAATTACCCAAGCATAACAAATTTTTTTTCGTCGTAATTTGATCTTAACTCATAGGGTTACCCGTAATTTGGCATAATAATAACAATAATGAAATTTGGATAGGAGAAATGTAAGTGAGATGTTGACTCAACAAACAGAAACCTTTGGGCTGCTCTATAGGGAGACAAAAACATGACCAATCCTCCACTAAAACAATCCAATATTTGATCTCGATTTTATTACAGATACTATATTACTTATATAAATACTAATATTATATTTTTTTTTTTAAAAAAAAAAAAAGAAGAGTAATGAATAAATTTGAAGAAAGTGCAAAAAAAAAAAGAAAAAAGGGTTGCCTTTAATTTTTCCAGTTATGGCAAAAAAAGAGAAACACCCAAAAAACTGTTTGATGCTATATTTATGTAAAAAGGTCAAACTTTACCAGACCACACAGGATAAAAAAGACCAAACCTTTTTTGTGCTCAATTTTGGGATTGGTTTAATGTGACACGTGTCGCCTCATGCTTGGGGCCAAGATTGCATACTACTCACAGACAATTGGTTCATATAAAACAATGCTGACGTCAGCATCCACCTGTCGTGTTAGGGCTCCCTTTTGCTTACACAAGTTGATGGCCTAAGGAAACATGATAGAAGGTAGTATTTGTAGCATAATGTTTTCTTTTAAAATAATAATAATAATAATAATAATTAATATATTATTAATTACAATGAACTATCAAAATAGTTGAACGAATTAAAAATAAAAAAAATAAACTATGAAAATAGAGCTTCCTGAAAAATTATTTAATTAGGTCCAAGACGCATGCCTCTGGGGCCGGGCCTGGCGCTCTGGACCGCCAAGTAGAGAACTTTTAATTTAATTGCTACATTAAAAATTGTCTTCATTTAATACAAAAACGAAAGTGTGAATTAATTTTATTTTCAAATTTTTGGGTGAATATTAAGCACAATCACAAGCAAGTATTATGAAATAATTGTTTGACTATAATTACCTAGGTTGAAGAACTAATTATTACATAGATGAACTAAAAAAAAAAAAAAATTATTTAAAATGGTGTGATAGTGGAAAGTGTACAATCCATATAGGAGGTTGAACACTTGGTAAGAGACAATGAGCATGCAAGAAAAGCACTCAAAACTAGCATGCTTATACAATATATATCCATATATTACTTAGTCCCCCATACAATTAGTCCATTTTTGTCTACAAACAATTAAAGAAGTTGCGGCTGAAAATTAATATGGTGTTACTATATAGAATAATCATTGTATTATTGAATTGTATATTACTAAAATATATAATTCAATCCAATTTTAAAATTTATAACATCGGGTGAGATTCACCCAATTGTACATATAATTCAATCATTTAATTTAATATCTTCAATACGCCACCTCAAGTGAAATCGAATTATATTTGAAACATTGCACTTGAAATATTTTTTTAAATATTTTTTTAAATGGGTGGCTGTGGGATTCGAACTCAGGACCTTTCATTTGGCCTGGCTCTCATACAATGTTGAATGACCATCTCAACCAAAAGCTTAAGTTGTTAGTAAAATGTATCATTTAATATTAATATCTCCAATACGCATATGTATTTGTGTTTCATAAGCAATTATTTATGTAGATTTAGGACTTAAAACTACATGGTGTATTTCATTATGTTAGAATCTCGTAATTGGTTATTATTATTATATGTATTTGACCCATTACATGCAATTAATAAATACATTGTTTTCTTATTATCATAACTGAAAATGATCAAATAATTACCCCCCACTCCTGCGGAGAAAAAGAGGGAAAATAATAATAAATAAATAAGTACTCCATTTATTGTCATAATTCATAAACTAGTATGCATGAGTATACACACTAACACACACACATAAACATGCGTTAAGCGCGCGTGCAAGCATGAATAGAAGAGTTAAAACAAAAACAATTTTTTTTTTTTTTTTTTACTATATTCACCATTCCGATGAAAGAATACTATGTGCATATTTTATTATTGGAATTAAATAAAAATATTTATTAAATGGGAGCTGTAATTAAATTAGACAGACAAACCAGAAAAAAAGGCCAACTTAGGGATTGCAAACATGTTTGATCTAATAAGCCCATAATTTAAGTTCTATTTAGAAACTGTAGATGCTACATCAGGTGAAATACGTTGAATAATTAAATTGAATGATGAAAAAAATTCCCTTTTAATATTCTTCACTTAACGGAATCAGTAACAAAATAAATCATTTAATTTCTAGGAATATTCTTTCAAACAATTTGCGAGATTTTATTTATTTATTAATTTAATATGAGGTTACATGTAAAATTCTGATATAAAAAAAAGAATAAAATGAACAAATTTAAGAGTTATGGGACAAGACCAACATGCTAGGTGAAAGAGTTATGGGTGGGATTTAATTAATAATTAATAATAATAATAAAAAGACAACAATGTTTCCTATGTATACAGCAACTTTGTCTCTTTATACTGCCCCACACATTGCCCATTTGTTCCCATCCAATCATCATTTTTTTTTTAATTTTAATTTATTTACTGACAGATTTTTTTTAAAAAAATTACCCACCATAATTCCTTAATATTACATGCCCATACAGTCACACAGTTTGGTAAATTACGTTTTAATCCCTGCCCATGTTACACTGTCCATTTTATAAATTACTAATTGTCTTTTTTTATTTTCTTACCAGGGTGGTGAAAAGGTGCTAATCTTTTGAAGTTGCAGGTCATAAAGTGCAAATATGAACAAATTTTGTGATAATCCCAATGCTTTGTTTATTTATTCTATTAAAATTAATTCATTTTTGGTAATTTTATTTGGTTAATTTATCATTAAATATGTTTTTTTAGTTGGATGTTGCTGACATTATTGTAATTGCACTGGGAAAATTTTCTGACATGTGTTCTTTTTTCTTTTTTTTTTTTTTCTTTTTTTTTTTACCATTTTAGGCTTTTCTGGCAGTACCATATTGTCATGAAAAATTGTTTTGATTTGGTATAGCACGTGAATATATTTATATGTATTGAATTTTATAGAAAATTGTAATATGTAAGTAAAAATTAAAAATAGATAAAAAAAATTTGTATAAAAGTAGGGAGAAGAAAAAAATATTGAGAGGCCAAAACCTGTATTTATTTATATAATACAATTAAAATTGTAGCTAAGAAATTACGAAAAAGACTCGTGGACGAGCAACCCCTGCCGCAAGTGGGATTAAATTTTAGTTCATTTTTTTTGTTAACATTTATTACAACATAAATATTTTACGACGCTTTTTGTATTAGAAACTCTAATGGGTCCGTAAGATTAAATTAATGTGATTGATCCGTTAACTTAATTATTTGATGGAATTATATATCTTATCTTTTATCTTGACCTTAATAAAAGGCTTTTAGTTATTATTATTTATACAATATTAAGTCTTGGAGGAATCGGAATTATTTTTTTCCGTTCGAAAGTAAAATTATATATTCTTAAAAAATAATCGAAATTTCGGAAATTGGAAATGGTCGTAAAATATAAAGAAAAAAAAAAAGAGATAAAATAAAAAATAAAATGAAGTGGTCCACACGTGACAGTCACGCACGTCAGTGTGGCAGCTGTACTTTTACCACGTGCGAAAGGCATTATAAATGGAAGCCCCCCCTAGCACTGTTTATTGGTGAAGAACCAAGATTGGCCAGGCAAGTTTCTCCAGTTTAATGGGGGTTAATTAACCCTTTTCTCTACTCTCTCTCTCTCTCTCTCTCTCTACTTTCTCTCTCTAACATTCAAATTTATACACATTTTTATGATATGTAGGCGCACTGTGTCCGCATAATATACAGACAGGGGCAGATATACATACACACACACACACAAATACATACATACAGGGCAAGGCAGGGGGAGACTGTAATAAGAATCAAGATTCTTCTTTTATTACAAGTTGTCACCTACAATTGGAGATAAAAGACAAATATATATATATATATATATATATATATATATAAAGACCAAAGCTCTGGGCAGAGAAGAGGGCCGGAGAATAAAAAAAGAAAAAAGAAAAAATGGAGAGAGAAAGTAGTGAAGGAAAGGCATCATCAAAATTCAAGAGGATTTGTGTTTTTTGCGGCAGCAGCCATGGCAAGAAGACCAGCTATCAAGATGCCGCCATTGAACTCGGCAAAGTCTTGGTACTACTTTCTCCTCTCTTTTCAACTTATTCTTTGCATGTGGTCAAAATCAAATACCCTTCTCTCTCTCTAGCTTTCTCTCTCTAGAAGTTTCAGGCAAAACCCATGGAGATGAGATGATAAAGTTTTGATTTTTATTACATCTCTTATCCCACAAGTCATGTTACTTTCATCTACAGTTCTCTCTCTCTCTCTCTCTCTCTCTAAGTTTTTTTGTGATGAATTATTTCTCTTCTTTAAATGGATAAGAAGATAATAATATGTGAATGTACTGTCACAATTCCTCTTTCCACTGATTTATTTATCTGCATTTCATTTGACTACTGTCCCAATTAAAAAAAAAAAAAAAGTAAAAAACCAATCTTTTTAATATAATATTTATATATGTATATTAAAAATTGTGTGTAATGATCTGAAGAACATAGTTTTGTTTTATTGTGTGAATTGAATCAAAGGTTTCAAGGAACATTGATTTGGTCTATGGAGGAGGTAGCATAGGCTTGATGGGTTTGGTTTCTCAAGCTGTTCATGATGGCGGTCGGCATGTTATGGGGTAATTAATAACACCTTTTTTTTATTATTATTATTATTATCTCTTATTTAAAAAAAAAATTAAAAAATGATTACTTGAGGGTTAGGTTAATTAATCTATTGTTTAATTTTTCAAGATTTAATTTTAATTATTTGACTAAACACTAATTATTGTTATTTTGTCATGTTACTGTCTCCCCTCTATGCAGAGTGATTCCCAAGACACTCATGCCTCAAGAGGTAATTTTTATTTATTTATTTATTATTAATATATTCCTTAAAAAAACTATTGCAATTTCTCTAATAATTATGTTTGTGTTTTTTTTTTCCTTGCACTTTAATGATATTTTCTTGAACAAAATGATGGTTCTTTGTTCTTTGTACCATGTTTGGTTCATTGCAAAACCTTATCCACACAGGGGGCTAAATTATTGAATTCAGTACACAAATTATAATTCTGAATTTTGGTGTAAAAATGTTTGTTCTGATGTATTTCCTTTTCTGTATCACACACACACACATTACTTTGTTCTGTGGTGACTCTGTTATGGGCCTTCATTAATTTTCTTGTATTTTTGTCTACTGCCCTTTTTCTGTGATTGACATAATTTTTATTTATTATTTATTTATTTAAATGCTAATCTGATTGTAGTATCCACCACTTGCTCTGAATCTTGACTTTGAAGATATTTTTTTGCATCAAAAAAATTCAATCTTTATTTATTTTTTATTAAATACAAAATATACCATCATTACTTGACTGCTGCTGCTGCTGCAAAACTGCACAGTGGACTATATAATTAAATTACACTTTTAATTATCCCTTTCCTATTTCAGCTTTATTATTTATTTTAATTAATTAATTTATATTTATTTATTGGTTTGTTTTGGTGGTGCAGTTAACTGGACAAACAGTAGGGGAAGTGAAAGCAGTAGCAGGTATGCACCAAAGGAAAGCAGAGATGGCTAAGCATTCTGATGCATTTATTGCCTTACCAGGTTTGTGTAATAATAATAAACTGATTTTTATTTAATTTTTTATTTTTTATTTTTAGCTAAAAATTAATGATGATGATGATTAGGTAGTGTGTGTTAAGTAACATCCATGATTTTCTTTTTAATTTTTTTTAATTTACCGGTTATCTTGCACTAAAAAATGGTGGTCGTTTGGGAGATGCTCGGTGCTCCCTCCGTTTCTTTATAAACGTCGTTTTAGCAAGAAAAAATAATTATGCTTCTTATTAAGTGTCGTTTTACGGTTTCGACGAAAGCACGCTTTTTCTTTACCCCCGACATTAATAACTGTTTAAATGAGTATTTTTTTTTCAAGAAAATAAATAATAGCTTTCTTGAGTTGGTTCTAGCTTAATTTTTGCCATGCTAATGTTTTTATTGCTTCAAAATGAGTCAACCATTACGAGTGTGAAATAAGTATTGCATAATCAATGCTTGTAGAGGCTTTTGTATAGGAGTAATAGATACATACTTTCCTTGTAAAACAATGTGGTTTAAATGTCGGAAAAAAAACCCGAAGGTGTAGTTAATATATATGCCGGTTTTTTTTTTCAAATGTGTATAGGTGGTTATGGAACTTTGGAGGAGTTGCTTGAAGTGATAACTTGGGCTCAACTCGGCATCCATGATAAGCCGGTATTTATCAACACTTGCAACTTGAATACATCTTATGTTTCGCTTTCCGAATATTTAAAACAAAAATTGGAACATAAATCAAAAACTAGAAATTTTAATCAGTTCGAATCTTGAAAAAGATTGTTTTTTTTTTTTTTTTTTTTTTTTTTTTTAATATTGGCTACTTTGCAGGTTGGATTGTTGAATGTGGATGACTATTACAACTCGTTACTGTCCTTCATCGACAAAGCCGTGGAGGAAGGGTTCATTAGTCCGAACGCTCGCCACATCATCGTATCTGCACCAACTGCAAAGGAGCTCGTCAAGAAACTCGAGGTAATTTTCTGAAAATAAATAAATAAATTGGCATTTCGAATTTCGATTTCCTTTTAGAGCATAGCGTGACAGTTAATTTCCATTTGTAGGAATACACACCGCGCCACGAAAGAGTTGCTTCGAAACTGAGCTGGGAGACTGAGCAGTTGGATTACTCACAAGAATACGATATATCCAGGTGAAAATTCCGATTTCACTCCATAGAAGAAGAAGAAGAAAACGAAGAAGGGTTCATTAGGGTTTATGGAAATTATTGAGCAATGAAGAAAGCTAACTTGGAATATTTTTAGATTATTATTGTTGCAGAGGGAAAATCTTTTTGTAAATCTTTTATCTGGGATTCACTCTTAATACCTACCTTCTTATTTGTTCCCCTGCACATTTAAAAATCTAATCTTTTCTTGAAAAAAAGTTGTACCAACAATTGTATTGAGTCATAGAATTTCAAAAAATCTAATCTTTTCTTGAAAAATCTAAAATCCACTAGGCTATTCAGTCATAGAAATAAAAAAAAAAATAAAAAAAAATAAAGGTATATCCATCAATTGTACTACGTGTGAAACTTATCATGTAAGAAACCAAGAAGTGAGTGCAATGTGACCATCTTGTTTTTTAAGACAAAATGATAGCTACTACCTAAGTTATGGTCCCAACATCATTTTCACTCTGCACGTATATGTGGGTGTTTTGTGCTTTCTTGGCATCCAATCAAAAACCAGAGTTGTGACATCATCTATTTTACACAAGCAATTATAAAAGAAAAAAAAACCCAACTTGCAATAACATCCTGTATTTTATTATTATAATGACCAAAAGAATTCTAATAAAAAAAAAAAAAAACAGAGTAAATTGAACTAGTGATTCTTAACATTGGAATTCTTGGGTGACTTAGGATTAGAGACATGTGATTTCCTCCTGCAGAAAATATTCCAACTCCTTTTAGCCTTAACAATTTTCTGAAACTCTTCTCTCATACTCTGACACTCCTTTTCGAGCTCGAAAACGCGCTCCCTCATGTCGTCCACACCGGGCCCCGTTTCGAGGGAGGCTTCCCTTTGGTGGTGGTGGTGTTGGTTTTTGGTGAGCGAAAGAACCGAGTTGGGATTCTGGGAGCTGTCGAGGTTGTCCGAAACAAAGAACCAACCGGAAATCGAGGTTCTTAATCGGAGCTGCTCGAAGAACAAGACTTGGACGACTACTCGGAGTGGGAGCCTCTCGTTTTGTGCGGCGTGAGTGCTTGCCTCTAATGAGAGCTTCTGGAAATTCATCAGTCTGCATATTTGCTCCCTCTCTGAGTCTGTCAGCCACGGATGCGCCTGTTTCGTAGTGAAATCGATCGCTATTAGCTGGTGTTCGAGATATAAATATTTAAACGATCACCTCGTTAAAAACTTAAGCTTTCCCTCCAAAGAAAAAAAAAACAAAAAACTTAAGCTTTTAGATGAGGTGTTCATTCAACGTTATTTCCAATTTCCTCATATTTCAATCCGTAATTTTCCGATTTTTTAACAACATTTTTCGTTCTGAATTTCAAAATCCCGGTTTCCGATTATTGTTCAATTTCTGAAAAAAAAAATCCAGAATTTCAAAAAGTCGACATGCAAACGAAAAGAGTAACGTAAAAAAGGTTGATCGTATTTATTACCTTGAGATAAATATCGATTGCGCGATAAATCCCATCGGAGAGAGGCCGAGCGTAATCGGGAACCGTGGCAGCAAGAGACTGAAACTTTGGGAACTTGAGATTAACATCCGGCGCCACCTCAGCAAGGTACACGTCGACAAGATTAGCCACCATGGTCAACGACGTAAGCGAATGCGTCCCTTCAACGAGTTGACTCTCCTCGACAATCACGCACGGCGAGGCCGCAGTGGAGGCCTGATCCATCGCCATGAAATGTTCTAGAATCCTCTGGAAACAGTCGATATCATACAACGTCTCGACGGAATATCCCATATTCGGCACCAACAGATCCTCCAGCGCCGCCTGGTCCAGCTGCATCCCGACCCGCCGCTCGAGATTCTCCCTGCACGAAGGGCTCGTCTGCAGAACCATCGCCGTACGGAGCAGCCGGAGGAGAAACCTAGTGTGTATCACCCCCTTTTGTATCGGTAGTAACTCGACGATTTCTTCTAGAAGCCCGCCTTGATCGGCTTCGGAAGGGATCGAAATCGTCGAACCGGAGCTTAGGTTCTTGAAACTCGACTGCCGGTTCATCTGGGGTATGTACTTCTTGGCGTAGAAGACCAACGCGCCGGCGACGTTCTCCGCCCTCATTCCGCCGGCCTCGACGGCGCGTATCAGGCGCTTGTACAGCGGCAGGCTGAGGAAAGAGACATCCTCGTACCACCAATCGTCGCCGGCGTGGTGGGCCGGCTTCGATTTTGAGTTACTAGAGGTACTGGTGCAGATCCCGTTCCAGAAAGCCGGGTTGGTGGTGTTCGGGCCCCGGCCCGAATCGGAAACGGGCCAATTGAAGAGGGTCGGGTCGGCGGAGGCCTTGATTGCGAGGGAGTTGATGCAGCGGGAGACGATGTGGAGCTCCTCGGCGTGGGGGAGGACTTCCTCGCAGGTTTCTAGGGCTTTGATTGTGTCGGTCCAGTTCCCGAAAACCTCGTTCAGGAAAGATTCCGTCTGTGTGACGAGATTGCCCTCGCCGTACTCCTCCGTCATCTGGAGGTACTCGGCGGCGCACCGGAGGCTCACCACGTTCATTGATGTCAGCTCGATTCTCACGCCGTAGCAGAATTTCGCGACGAGCTCGAACGCCTTGGCGCCGCCGGGTAACTGGCTGAGCTGGAGGGTGCATTGGGATCCGTCGGTGGTGGTTAGTTCTCCGATCAGTTTTTCCAGTAGCCCGCTCCTCGACAGCAGTGGAAACTGGCGATTTCAATTTCAGCATTATTTATTATTATATTAATTAATTTATTAATTAATTGCAATTTCAATAATTAATTAAAATAAAAAAAAAAAGATTTACCTTGTGAAGATGGAAGGACATTTCTCCAATCTCGATTGCAACATCACTTTGAAGGCCAGATGTGCATTGCCTACAATAAATCAAACTAATTAAGAATTCTAGTGTACATGCATGCATTATTATTATTATTATTATTAAACGAAACTAATCGATACTATTTGATTCGGTATCGTTCGTTCGTTAGAAGATTATTTTAGCAAAACTTTCACGTGTTTTCATTCGATAAGCTATCAAAATCAGCTCGAGCTCGATCAGAAACCCGATTCATGATCATTTGACGTCGACTGAATTAATGTAAAAATTGAAACAAGATTGAATAAAAAATAACAAAATCACATCTACGTTTTCGTTCGTACCAAGTTTGTCCGTCGCGGTGAAATGCTTCAGATTTAGAGCCAAGCTTCATGTAAGCCATGTATGAACCTTTTTTTTTTTTTCTTCCCCTAATATTTTTTTCAAGAAACAGAAAAAAAAAAGGAGAGAGTTAAAACAAAGATAGAAAAAAATAAAAAATATTTTTTTTTTGTGAAGAAAAAGGGGTTTATTTAGTAATGAGTATAGTCTGTTTGTGTTGAATAATTCCAAAGGGAGTGAGTGAGTGTGGGGGGCGAGTCAAATGGAGGAGGGAAGAGATAAAATATGGCGCGGTTATCCCAACTGTCTTCCCTCTCCTTCTCTTTCTCCCCGCCTTATTTTTAGATTCATTCTTCTTAACAACTTAAGGCCACGTTTGGATCTTCTTAACTTTTCATGCAAAATCCAAAATCACGTGACATCTTTCAAACGGGCCAATCTTAATGGGCTTTTTCACTAGGGTTGGATCTGCCCCTGTATAATCGGGCTTTATTTGGGCCTTTATATCAAACCAATTATTTTTTTTTGTTGGAAAATTAGCCTCCAACCATTATTATTATTTTTTTTATTTTTTTTAAATTTGTATTCGGATTATAGTCGCAATCAGATGTGTAACTATCTGATTAAGAAACTTCGAGCTGATTTATTGTTTTATTTAAAAAATCATGGGTCCATACTATTTTGTCGAATTTTTTTCTATTCATTGTCTTATAATTATTTTATCTCCTCTGGGCTTGATGAGTTACATCACTCTTATTAATTTAGATTAGATTGGAATTTAATATAATTCTAAGATTAGATTGTTTAATTTCTAATCTTATTGCCTATCTTAATTTGTTCATTATGATAAACATCTAAATAGAAACTAAGAACTCTAAATAATTTGTAAAATGACGGAATTACCCCTGGATTGATCTAATCTCTTCCAAAAACTAAAAGATGACCCCAAGGCTAACTAAACGACATGCATTCAGTGGTTGAGCGCGCACGGGGAACAAACGTCCACGTCATCCCCACCCGTGGCCGGACACGTGTTATGTATTTTAGTCAACTACCCAGACCAACTGGGCCCAAGCCCATTTCTTGTCTTGTAGCTGTCAATATTTTCCCATTTTACCCTGTTGGGCTTTTTATCCATAGCCCACTATATTTCTTTAGTTTTTTATTAAACATTTATTAAATGTTGTTTATTTACAGTTTTATTATATTTAAATTTTAATAAAGGTTATATTGAATATGTAAATTGTAATTATGAGGTTATAATTTATGGAAGAAAAAAAAACAACAATAATCTGGTAATAGTGACGGGGGGTGGTGACCCCCTCCACGTGGGCAGCTCGCGAGCTGTGTAACAGTAGTTGAGATACAAAAATGGTCGTATTATACATCAAGCACTTCTACGACAAAACCCACCAACATTTGACCTGGCCCTTTTATTTTCTTGCATTTCTCCATTTATTTATATATATATATATATAATGGATAAATAAATATGGTTCAAGAGTCATTTTCATAGTGTGCAGCAGACATGCATATATCACTAGTATAGTACTCTGTGTCAGTGTTGTGTTGGTATATTGTTATTTTAGTTTAATTTTTATGACAACATAATATTAATATTTAATAATTAATATTAATGTCAAGACTCAGCAGCCTCTTTATATATGCCCTTTGCTCACGTCCCTTTCTTCTATTATAAAAGAATATTTTTATTTTTATTTTTAATTTCATTATTTTGTCTCATTTAATTCTTGTATCAAATTACATTAATTAAATTAAGTAAATAATTAGAGTAGCATGCTCGATGCTGCTAAACACGGTTTTATCTATCCTACACCCGGTGAAGGTTACACCGGGTGGTTTTTTACCGTTGATCTACACACACCAATGTTGGTGTGTGTGTATTTGTGTGTATATGAATGGTAAAGATCTACCCGGTGTATTTCACCCGGTGTAGGATCTCAAAAGCCGCTAAACACCCTCTCTAAAGACTTTTTTTTTCTTTAATTAATTAATTCCGAATTCTCAAACCAACAATATAATGTTTTATTTGGCTATTAAATATTTTAGTTGCAACAACCGTAATTATTTTAGGGTAGGGTGATGTTCCTAACCTAATTTTGTCACTATATATGTATAATATCTATTTTCTTTAATTATTATTTCTACACCAAACATTCCGAAAGTGTTTTCGATTTTTTACGAGGCATTTATAACCAAAAAATTAAAATATATATATATATATATATTTATTTAAAGTGTCTCAGTAAATGAACTAGTTATTTATACGATTTATTTATTTATTTTCGTTATGAATAGAATAAAATAAAATCACGTGAATTAACTATGAAGATGAAAAAAGAAGAAATAACTAAAAGAAATAAGTTATAGTTAACTACAGTTAAACCTTTATAAATTAATACGATTGAGACTAGAAAAATTCAATTAATTTAGCCAAGTATTAAATTATCGAGTTATTAAATAAGCATATTTTCACTGAGTCGAAATCGAGAAAAGGTATTATCAAACGAGGTTATTAGTTTATCCAGGTTCTACTGTATATATAGATGCATTTATTATCATTCGATGTGCACAGTATTTTTGTTTCTTCAGCCTACATCATCAAAGTAAAAAATATTTGTTTTTATTTATATTTTATTTTTTTGAATTTGAATCAGAATTGATTGGTGATTTATTTAGTTGGAAGTGGAAGAATTCTTATTGGGTCCAAAAATATTGAAAAACATACTAGAAGAATGCTTGTTGGTAGTTTTGTTAGTTAATTGTCAAATTACTAGAAAAAATAAAATAAAGTAAATATCGAATTGACTAATACTATGATTACTCCTGCCTCTTGCACTTTTAATTGAAATGAAATCATGTAAGTTTATACTATTCTAACTACTAGGGATTATTTTTTTTATAGAGTTTATAGAGAGTTTTTTTTTTAAAATCTATTTTTTAACAAAATTGAATTGAATTAATAAACTATTAATTCTGATAATATCAACATAAACAATATCTAAATGTGTAAATTTTTTTTAATTAATTGTGATAGAGACAGTTATCAGTGGACTATGTAATAAATTGACAGGAAATATGAAAGCTTGACAGCAGTATACATTAATTATTCGTCTATTTTTAACTCTTTGATAAATAAAGGAAGAATCTACAGTTTCCAAATTTATGTTTCTTTTTAGGGGTCATTAGCAATACACCCCTCTTATAGATAAAAACTAGTGATATGTCCATACCATAATTCTTTCTTTGTGAAAACCCCCTAGAATATTTAATTCCATTTTTACCCCTCTAGTAAGTCACGTTTATTTTTTATATTTATCCAATATTTTGAAATCCCTAATAATTAGGCACCTAATCCTCCTAATTAGGTTTAATTATTTACTTTTCCTAATAAAACTGCTTCTAAATAAAATAAATTAAAAAAAAAAAAAACTGCATCGTCTTGAATAACACACAGAGATTTGGTTTTCTCCCAAATCAAAAACCGGCAAACAAAATCGAAACCCTCTCTTCCAATCTGCAGTCACATTCCAAAATCGAAGATATTTGATACAAAATCGTCCACACACTTTATCCATTAATAGTCGTATTCTGTAGTAGCTGTGTTTCGGTAGTGATAAACCAGTGAAGTTGAGTTGCGTAGTCACATTCGAATCTGGTTTCTGAAATGAAGAAGAAAGCGTCACAGAATACTATATGACTACTATGTGACTACTATGTGACTACTATGTGACTACTTCTGATGAATAAATCTGCACTACCTGTAAATACAAATCACATGATATCATGTGAATTCAATTCAACCACAACAAACACATTGAAACTTACACTAACATATCAAGTAACACAAAAAAAATAAATTACAATAAAATTACACTAGCGTATCAATTAACACAAAACGAACAAAAAATTTGCAGAGTAGTCACAACGTGACTATCAACGTGACTCTGTGTAAAAAGGTATAAAATTTTCAATCAGTAACATTCATTTACACCAATTAAGACGACCCAAAAAAGAAACAATGAAATTTCGGTTCTAAATACACATACACACATATCTGAATACACACACTACAACCCGCCACAATTACGAAACCAACAAAATTAAAGCGGAACCTCTGACCTTCAACACAGTTTAACTCCGGCAACGATCGCAGAATGGTTGAACGGCGACGATGTCTCTATTCTCACCTAATCTCGACTGAAATCACGCCTGTATATCAAGGAGAATTACGTCCGCCTATAATAAAGGGAAACGGTTATGGAAAGATATCGTGATTAAATATTTGATTTATTATAAAAAACTATTAATAAGGGTACTTATGTCTTATTATGTTTAATTGAGGGGGTTTCACTAATTAAGTTTGGGATGTGGGTTTTTGCAAAAGTCTTAAAAGTCAATTGGGTTTTACTCATAATATTTTCCATTTGAGGGGGTATTGCATATTTCCCCTTCTTTTTATGCCAATAACCAAAACGGCGTCGTATTATGAATGTGTATGGTTGTTCCAAAACAAAAGTTTTCAATTAATTAACCACCAAACAGTGAGAGTAGAGTGAAGTTGAGCAGTAAATTTCTCAAATATATCAAAACTGCACAAAATTGTGTTTCAGCACGAATCGAATTGAATCGGAATTATCACTTTCGGATATATCCAATTTTGTTAGAAGCGAAAAACTCGTTCCAGATAATTTTTGAAAAAAAATTGAAAAATCGGAATTCAAAATTTGGAATAAAAAATCTTGTTTCGAAATCGATATTTTTTTAAGATTGGAATATGGAATTGGAAATTCCATACTTGTTAACCTATAGTACAACTACATTAATAAAATTGTTTTATAAGTACAATTTTTAAGAAAAAAGAGGAATCTTTGGAATTATGTTTATAAATTAAAATCGGATTAAAAATTAAAACCTCATATGTATTTCAATTTCGATAAAAATACCGGACATCGAAATTTTCGAGGTGAAAACCATTGTTTCAAAATTAGAAAATTTCGTAACGGAACCTCGAATTGGCAAAATTTGGAATTTTCAATCCAATTTATGTCCTAATTCTGCGGAAAAAACTTGGCGGACTATTAAATTATCGAGTTCAAAATCTAACACGCTGTCACCGAGTCAGGACCGGAAAAAATGCATACGTATTAATTTATCGAATTTCTAATATATATATACATAATTAATAGAATTAGGAGTAGATGGTAGTGTATCCAAACTCTAGTGAAATTAATCAATGATGTCTTAACCATAGTTAAATTACTCCCTCTGTCCCATATTATATGTCTTTTTAGGGAGTTTTTTTTGTCCCAAATTATTTGTCATTTTAGATTTTCAATGCATCATTAATTGCACTATTTTCAATTTTACCCTTTATCACTCCTAATTAGTTAGTTGTAAAACAATTAATGTCAAGGATATATTAGTATTTTCCTATATTTTTTACTATAATCTATACACATTTATTGATTTTCTTAATATGTGTGCAACAACCCAAAACGTCACTTAAATTGGGACGGAGGGAGTAATAAATAGGCACACCTCTTTGTCTACTTAAGACTGCATTGCTTTTAGAGCAACAACTATTGACTTGCCTCAATTAAAGTAAAATAATATTGGACTGATCAAACTTTCAAGACTTTTTCACTCACTACAATACCTTGGTCCTTTCAGATAACCTCACAATTAAAAATAAAATTAATTAAATCAACTACCGTAATCAAGAAACAATATCGAATTCAATCCGACACCATAAGCAATAGAATAAATATATTAATATTATAATCAAATCAAATTAATTAAACAAATAAAAAAAACATCGTAACCACCATGAATAATTTATTGCAAGAGGGTTGTTATTAAATAAAAAAAATAATGATGAGAAATTGTAAAAGTAATGTAATAGGTTATTAGGCTTTGGTTTCAAGATCTTTGTTTTTATGCTTGGCGCCTCAGAAAGTACATCAGAAGTTTCTTCAGATCCGAAGAAAATGGTAATAATAATAATTATTTTATTTAGTTATTTATTTATCTCTCTATTTTAACAGTAATAAAATAGAAATTCATCAGGTGAAAAAGAATAGAAGAAAGAAAGACGCTTTCTGTATACGTGTGAAGACTTTGGATAAATATATATTTAGAGAGAGAAACTAGAGAGAGAAAGTAAAGAGAGAGAGAGAGAGTGCTTTATATGTGTGAATGGATTTGAGCCTGAAAATGGAGGAATGAAAGGAGTTCCAAGTATAAAGAAAAGAAACATCAAGGGGTTTTTAATCTGTTTCTGCCTTGTAATAATCACTTCTAGTTTTTAGCTTTTAAGCTTTCTTGATTCTTCTAAAACAATGTGCTTTGGCTTTTGATTGTTTCTTTAAGTTTGTATGTACAATCTTTGTTGATTTGAGTGCCTTTTGGGATGTGGGTTTTCAATTTTGTGGAGAAAAAAGTTGTAAAGATTTGAACTTTTTTGTTTTTAGTTTCGATTAATTTCTTGTGTCCGAAAGTAAGTCAATTTTTTACCTTAAAAAAGATGTCTATCTTGTCTGAGTCATGTGTTTCTTGTGCTGGTATGAGGAGTTTTATGGATGATTAAACGGTCAAACCGAAGAAAGTGTGATATTGGATTAGAAAGAAAGAAACTTTTTTGACTTGAATTTGATTTCTTGAAGTTGATTATATGTATCTTGTGCTGTTTCTTCATATGGGTTTTATCGACCTACTGGCAATTTAGATAGAAGGTAAGAAATTCAAACTCATCAACCTTAATTTTAGGTTATCCTCTTCTGTTTGATTCTTGTTTATTTTGTGACATCAATTGCTGTTTTTTTTTATGTCTGCAAAAAAACAGGGCTTGTAAAAATCCAATCTTGAAATAAAAATCCAATCTTGAAATGATTACCTTTATGGAATCGAAAGAGAAGATGAAAGAAACAGAGAAGTGTTTGGATTCACAGTTATGGCACGCCTGTGCCGGTAGCATGGTGCAAATGCCCTCCGTAAATTCGAAGGTGTTTTACTTCCCACAAGGTCACTCGGAGCACGCTTCTGGAATCGTCGATTTAAGGACGTGCCCCAAGATTCCTTCGTACATTCCTTCAAGAGTGACCGCGGTTAAGTTCATGGCCGATCCGGAAACAGACGAGGTTTTCGCAAAGATCCATTTAGTCCCGATAACCGGAAACGAGGTTGTCTTCGATGATCATGACGCGGCGGCGGTTGGTGGTGGTTCCGAGAATCAAGAAAAGCCCACATCGTTTGCGAAGACACTAACTCAGTCAGATGCGAACAACGGTGGAGGGTTTTCTGTGCCTAGGTACTGCGCGGAGACTATATTTCCTCGATTGGACTACTCGTCGGACCCACCGGTTCAGACAATTCTAGCGAAGGATGTTCATGGCGAGACGTGGAAGTTCAGACATATTTACAGAGGTACCCCTAGGAGGCATCTTTTAACGACGGGGTGGAGTACTTTCGTCAATCATAAAAAGCTTGTAGCTGGCGATTCGATTGTGTTCATGAGAGCGGAAAACGGCGATCTCTGCGTCGGAATCAGAAGGGCGAAACGGGGGATCGGCGGCAGCGAGGCGGCGACGGGGTGGAATCCGGCGGGGGGCAACCCCGCGGTGCCTTACGGTGGGCTGTCGGCGTTTTTTAGGGAGGACGAGGGGAAGTTGAGTAGGAACTCGAACGGCGATTCGATTAGTAGTGGGAGAGTTAAACCTGAGGCGGTTATTGAAGCTGCTACGCTTGGTGCGAGTGGGCGGCCGTTTGAGGTGGTTTATTATCCGCGCGCTAGCACACCGGAGTTTTGTGTGAGGGCTAGTTTGGTGAAGGCGGCACTGCAAATTAGGTGGTGCTCGGGTATGAGGTTTAAGATGCCGTTCGAGACGGAAGATTCTTCTCGTATAAGTTGGTTTATGGGGACTATATCTGCTGTTCATGTTGCTGATCCGATTCGTTGGCCCGATTCTCCTTGGAGGCTTCTCCAGGTATATTAATCGTATTTTGATTCATCCATGTTAATTATAGTTGCTATTGTAGTATCTCGATTATGGGTGGAAATTGGAACGGAATTTCTGAAATTCCGCTGATTCAAGATCCGAAAATTTTCCGATTTTGGAACAACTTTTTCGTTCCAAGTTCCGATTTTTCCATTTTCTTTGGAACGGCATTGGAATTGTTCCGAATGTACCAATTCCGATCTGACCGTCCGATAATTCTGATACTTTGATTTAATAAGGTATAAATATGCAATTGAAGTGAAAAATCATTGCCAGGTGGCATGGGACGAGCCGGATTTGCTACAAAACGTGAAACGAGTGAGCCCATGGTTGGTGGAGTTGGTATCGAGCATGCCGCCCATCCACCACCACAACCTCTCCCCGTTTTCGCCCCCACGTAAAAAGATGAGATTACCCTTCGATGGCCAAATTCCCTTGCCGGCATTTTCCGGCAACCCGTTTGGCTGTCTCCCGAACAACAACAACAACAACACTCCTGCTGGCATGCAGGGAGCCAGGCACGGTCTATCACTGTCGGATCTTTTTCCGGCCGGTTTTATGCCTCTCAATAGAGTCCCTTTACCTAGTACAACCGCAAATAACGAGAATGTTTCATGTCAGCTAACTATGGGTAATTCGAATCGAGGGTCGAAAGTTTCCGATAATTGCAAAACGGCCCCTTTTGTCCTCTTCGGTAGGCCGATACTCACGGAGAAGCAGATTTCACTGAGTGGCTGCTCGAGCGACACGCGGACGGGGAATAGTTCCTCAGATGGGAATGAGGGTAAACTGGGAAATAATTCCGACGAAGGTTTTCAGTCGGAGCTCGATTTGGAGACAGGTCACTGTAAGGTTTTTATGGAGTCTGAGGATGTGGGAAGGACTTTGGATCTATCTCTGCTCGGTTCTTACGAAGAACTGTACGAGAAGTTGGGAAGTATGTTCGGTGTTGAAATTTCGGAAATTATGAATCGTGTAATTTACCGGGATGCCACTGGGGCTGTTAGGCAAATCGGAGACGAATCGTTTAGGTGAGATTTCATGGTTTAATTTTTTGTTGTGATTCTATAAAATCTTCGTCGACATATAATTTTATTTTTATTCGGTTCGTATTGTTTTGCAGTGATTTCTTGAAAACGGCGAGAAGGTTGAGAATTGTAGCTGATACGAACAAATGTAAGAGTGTAGATTTTTGACCAAATAAATTAGGCTTCTAATTTTATTTTTTTTCTGGACTTGTAATAAGGAGATTCTTTAATTGTGAAATGCAATCTGGGATGAAAAAGAATGCAACAGATTCTGTTTCTTTGCAGACGGGGTTTTCGTTTTTTCATTTTTTCGTTTTTCGTTTGTTTGTACAGTGAAAAAAGTTTGATGTAAATGAGTTATGTCTTTTGTTTAGCATAAATCATGCCATTTTCTTGATTTGATTCTTGGAATCTTTTCAGACAATTTTTTTGTTTGGTGAAGGTTGTACAAACAAATATATTATTAATAATGGAAAATGGCTTCTTTTTTCAAATGAATAAAAAATTAAAAATTAAAAAGAGAAATTGAAGAGACAACAAGAGTTAAGGCAGGAACACAAGTCACATGGTTGGACCAAACACAGCCTTAAAACCTCAAAAAATTGACCTTCATTTGCAATTCAATTGCCGCAATTGCTGGTAACTCATGAACAATATTAATAATTCTCTATTAAAAAAAAACAATAATATTAATTTTAAGTATTAGTGGGCAATAAAAGTCAATACCCCAATTAATTAGTCCTTATTGGGATTAGCAAAAAGTAATTAAGAATTAGTCCTCAAAATCAGAGAGAGAGAGAGATAAAGCAGCAAACACAAAGTAGTATACCGCACGTGAGAGTTGGATCCCGATAAGTAATAATAATTATATGTTCACGTGTGGGAGAGTCGGCAAAATACGATGTATTTTGCACGCTTTGCGGCGTTTAAAATACCACCCTGTTCCTTCTTTACAATTATTGAGATGTTACGCAGACACCGGTGATTATGTGCAGATCAACGGCTAATAATCACCGATTGTATTTGACCAGTGTAGTTGAATAAACCCTTCTTGACTGACGCAAAAAAAAAAAAAATTTCTCTTTCTAATTTGAGTTTTATTTTTTGGATAAATCATTTTGAAGTCCTAATGTTTACGGATAAAATTTCTGGGGATAATATCTTCAATTTAACAAACTACTATAGTTTAGGACGGTTAAGATGTGATTAGTGTTGTTGATCTATAAATTGAACACCAGTTAATTACTAGATTCTCATAATATAATATAATTGATGTAGTATGAAATTATGAAAATAAAACGTACAACAAACGTCATCCATCCACCGACACAGAAAACACAGACCCGAAAGCCCAGTAACAGATCACAAGTTGGATCACGTGATGCCCCAAACAGACGACGTTGGATTAACGGACCTCTGTTTTTTTTTTTTTTTTTTTTTTTTCTTTCTTTTTTTGTTATTACCATATAGTATATATAAAATCATAAAAAAAAAAAAACTATATAGTATACATACTTACTAACAAGTAAATCGATATTTAACAAAAGATATACTTTGTACGATGCTTTTTGATGATCCATGTGGATGAACTGGCCGATTACTCCACAAAAATAGAGGATAAACGTCGATTATAGCTCAAAATTCGGAGTGTGCTTTTCGATTTCAAGGGCTAGAGAATATTATTGGGCCGAAAATGTAAATATTTTGTTTATTTGGGCAAATAATAAAATATTTCCGCCTGCACTATTAGTAATGAAGACTCCACGTAGGATTATAAAACTTGTGCATGCATGTATAAATATCGTAGTTGTAATCTAACCCCTCTTGTGCTAATCAATCTGCACCATTAATCAACAAATACATATACATACCATTGTTTTTAGCCAACGTCGTCAAATAAATGTACGGATGGCCGGAGAAACATCTAATTAGGATATTTATTAGCTAGTGCAATTGAGAGATCCAAGGTCTATGGTTTATACATCCTTTTAATTTACGAGCTGTTGTACGAGTAGGGGTGTGAACGAGCTGAGCTCGAGCCGAGCTCGCCTCTTTTGGCTGGCTCGAGCTCGAGCTCGAGTTTATTTTGTCGAGCTCGAGCTCGAGCTCGAGCTCGAGCTCGTCGAGTTCTTCTTTTTCTGGCTCGAGCTCGAGCTCGTGTTAATTTTGTCGAGCTCGAGCTCAATCCCTTTTTTTTTTTTCTTTTTTTAAATATTATTTTATTATTATTTTATTATTTAAAAATATTTTAAAAAATTACAAAATAAACACAAAATTGTGATTATATATTTTTTTAATATTTGTATTTATTTCTATAATATTTTATATTATTATACATTTTTAAATAAAAATAACATATAAAAAATAAAAAAAATAAAAAAATATTAATAAATCCGGCTCGCGAGCCGGCTCGCGAGCTGATGAACAACTAAAATCGGGCTCGAGCTCGGCTCGTCAGAAAGCTCGAGCTCGCGAGCTCGAGCTCGAGCTCGAAAACCTCGAGTCCGAGTTCGAGCTTTTTACGAGCCGGTTCGTCGAGCTCACGAGCCGGCTCGGCTCGTTTACCACCCCTATGTACGAGATATAAGTTCATCCGGTATACATATGTGATTGCGGGTTCCTTCTTAAAAAAAAAAAATTCAATTGTATAAATGTTGGAAATTATATAGTTTTTTATTGGATTTGAAACTGTGCTTAATTGACAAATTTTCAGGTTAGTGTGAAACGAAATATGCAAAATAAGGGCCGTATCAAAAAGCCCACATAAGAGTGGGCTCATTTGAGCATATCGGCAACTTTGGACCCAAAAGTGAAAAGTGATTTGGAGTCCCTCTTCCCTCTAGGAGAGCTTGACTAGACACGGCCATGGGCCGGTTTTGGGCCCGGAACCGGCCCGTTGACGAACCGGCCCGAATCGTTGACCGGTGAACCGGCCCGGAACCTGTGAACCGGTCCGTCGTCTCTGGGACGGGCCCGGTTCTATGAATTGGTGAACCGTGAACCGCCGGGCCGCCCCCCCCCCCCCCCTTTTTTCTTTCCCCCCCCCTTTTTTCCTATAAAATTAAGTTAAATTCCTTTTGTTTTTTTCCTATTTAAAAGGAATTATTTTAATTTATTTATTCCTTAAGGATTTTATATATATATATATATATATATATATATATATATATATATATATATATATATATATATATATATATATATATATATATATATATATATATATATATATTTCCGGGCCGACTCGGAACCGGACTGGATAGGCCCGGAACCGGAGTGAACTGGCGGGCTGACCCGACCCACCGAACTGTGCTTAGTACGAGCCGGTTCTGATTCCAAAAAAAGTGAACCGCGAACCGGAGTGAACCGGCCCGAAACCGGCCCAAACCGGCCCATGGCCGTGTAGGAGATGCTGGTTCAGATTAAGCTTATTTTTTTGGCTTAATTTTTTCGATATTAATTCTTTATTTAATTAATTATAATTCATTTATATCTTCACTAATTTTATCTTGTCAATCAAAAAATCGCATTAACTAATTATATTTATTTTTGTATAGGGGACATAAATGTTTAATAAAATATCCAGAAATTCATTTTTTTTTTAATTTCTCGTCAGTAATGATTTAATCTTTTTTTGGGTTAAATAAATAAAATATGGGAAAATTACAATTTTTAGTTTTAACGGAAAATTGACAGAAATGACTAAAATTATTGAATTTTTAAAATAAGAGACCAAATATGGAATATATGCAAACATGAGGGATGAAAACTATATTTTTCCTAATAAAATATAGATACGCTTTTGGTGACAAGTTGTTCCAGAAGAATACTATAGTGGGATTCGTTGTATAAATTGCTAAAGCAGTAGCACGCTTTCAATAAATTGCTAAATTATTTATACTGGATTCGTTGAATAAATTGCTAAAGCAGAAGCACGCTTTCAAGCAAAAACAATCAATACTAATACATATAAGCAAGAACGCTTCTTCTACACCGTACTCTGCACTCAGCTTTCCCTTCCTCCATTCTTTAAACAAAAGCGAAAAAGCATCCAAATTTTGGTTTCTAGTGAAAAAAGGGGTTTGAATCATTTCACACCTAATTTAATTTCGAGATTTCGTAGTTTTATTTGATGGGTGAGTATTGAACAAATCAGCAATGAGCGGGCCGGCGGTGCATCCGGTGGAGGCCCCTCCCCCGACGACTGAGGCGGCGCCGCCGAGGGTTAGGATGAAAGACATTCAGGGAATGGCCGGAACCACCGGCGCACTCTTCCTCCGCCTCTGCCAATTCATCTTCGCCGCCGTTTCACTCTGCGTCATGGCCACCACCTCCGATTTCCCCTCCGTCACTGCCTTCCGGTTAGTTTGAACAATCTATTTTTTGCGTCTAATTAGGGTTTTGGTTTGGGTAAAGTTATAAATAATAACTGATACATACATTCCACGATTATGCTAAAAGATGAAGAAAATGGAGAACTGCGATTCGATTTTATAATAATTGGAAGATTTCGAAATCGCCTTAACCAGGAAAATAGGACCTGAAATTATTGCAATGTCGATTGTTCTTACCATTGAAATTTTATTCGTTTTAAGAAAGTCGTAGGAGTTGGTAAGTTCCGATTCCACCTTCGTTCTATGATTCACATTTAGTTCTTTAAGGTTTTAATGTGTGCATATGATATCATAAACATATTAAATACGTTTACTCGTGTATATAATTCGTTCTGTTGAAATGAAAAAGAAGAAAAACAGTGAATGTTCGTTTCTTTTGTACGCTTTTCATAATTTAACGAGATGTTGTGACAGTTGTCGTCCCATTTAAGAGCACCTGTCTCTTTTAATCACTTAAACCTGTCTTACGACAACTGATTATGACTGAAGAAACAATTTTGTTCGGTTCGTTAGCTACCTAGTTGCTGCAGTGAGTTTGCAAAGTTTGTGGAGCCTGTCTCTTGCTCTTGCCGACGTATACGCTCTTTTGGTCAGACGAAGGTTCAGAAATTCTGGCGCTGTCAGTTTGTTTGCTATCGGCGATGGGGTAAGAAAAAAACTTGTTCCAATTGATTTTTTTTATTGTTCCGAATGTTATAGTCGATGTGATTGTTATTTATCTACATTTTAGCCGCAAGAATCCATATAAACAGATAATATTGTTCTGGTGCAGATTACGTCGACGCTAACTTTTGCTGCTGCCTGTGCATCGGCTGGTATCACAGTTCTCATTGGAAACGATCTTGATAAATGTGATTTGAACCACTGTACTAGGTTTATGTCAGCTACAGCCATGGCTTTTCTTAGCTGGTTTGCTGTGTCCCCGTCATTTCTGCTGAACTTCTGGTCTCTGGCTTCCCGATAACTAAATTTGCGACTCGTACATCTGTGTTTTTTTTTTTTGCATTGACAGATGAAAATGGAAAATCTGGATGCTTCTCGTATGTGTATCATTCAATTCTGTGGTGAATGGAATTTGGTAATGTAAAACTTTTGTTCGCCAAGAGGTGGAAGAAAGAATGTTTTTGTTTTTTATTTGTCGTGTTCGAACATTGGCTTCACTGACAGGTTAATTGTTTGTAAATGGGATCATCTCTAAGTCCCTTTTCGGTCGAGATTGAAGGATTATTATTTATTTTTGTGTTCACACGAATTGAGCTTCATAGTCGATGTGCTTTGTTAAGCTTTACTATAGGCAACGTATAAACATTAAAGTAACGATTTTGTCGTCAATTTAAAATAGATTGCGCAGAAATTTGTATTGATCCTCATCAAGTAATAAAGTTTGGGTACAGAAACAGCTACAGAAATTAAATATTTCGTGTACTGCATTTTAATTTCTCTGTTTCGAGCTCTTGTTTCAAAGACTCAACTCTTTCAAGCAAATCCATGTTTTCCTGGTAACGAAAGGCATTACGGATTAGACAATATCCAATTTAAAGACACACGTAATATAACATAATAACATACGAAGATTTGTGAACCGAAGTTCAACAAAAGGCACCTTTTGCAACATTTCGATTTTCCGATTCTGGCCGGTAGAAATTTTAACCTCTGCTGTTTCTCCACGAGACTTAGACTTCTTAATCTACGTAAAAGAAAGAAGATTGGAATTAGTGTTGCTGGAACGAAGAAGAATCCATCATGTGATAGAAAGCCGAAAAAAGCTGGAATCGATTAGTAATTTCAAGTAGCCAGTCTCCTCTAAAGATGTGTCTAGTTTATCTCTTCTCGTATAGAATATGAAAAACGAATGCTCGAAAAGGCTTATGCACCACAATTTTAAGAGCAATACTAATGATCATTTAATGTCGTCTATTTCTTGATGTGCACTCGAATGTCTTTCCTTATACACGCGTGTGTGTGTGTGTGTGTGTGTGTGTGTGTGTGTGTGTGTGTGTGTGTGTGTGTGTGTGTGTGTGTGTGTGTGTATATATATAGATACAATCATACAATACGTATAGTTCACATAATTAAATTACCAATAGCAACTTTATAGTGGTTTAAACTACTAAGAATTTCATACATTCTTGTGACTAATATGTATATATTTCCACTAATTTGTTCTTTCCTTTATCATAAACTTCTAATACGTTTCATCCTCGCGCTTTTTCCCATTTAATCGCAAGTTTCTTTTACCTTGCACCCCGAACATCCGAAATCATAACCAAATGATATAGACAGATAAATGGTACATGATGCATCTTCGAAAAATAGTGCGCACAAAAACTCAAGAGATTATGAAAATTGTTAATAAGCAAAGAACATACTCCCTCGAGTTCCGTATAGCACTTGGCAGCCTTGTCCGACTCGGAATCGTATCTCATTCTCCACTCTGCAGATTCATCCATTGCTTCTCTGCTAGCAAGATCAAATTGTTTCCTACAAGGAAGTAAAATGCACACACAATCAAAAAAAAAAAAAAAAAGACATTCACATTGCAGCTACACGATATAATTGTGTTCTACTCTCAAATTAAAATGTCAGTCGCGCAATTCAACAAACACCTAAGGCGCAAGAGTAATTTCTACTATTTTGCAGAAACAAGCAAGTACAGTAAACACAAAAATAAATTCAATTTACAAAGAACAAACCAGCACACGTATTTCAGCAGAAAAACACGCGATCAAGTCTAGATCGAATCATTAAAAAAAAAAAAAAGGATGGAGAAGAGAAACTACGAAGAGAAATTAGGAAGGAGAGATTAGGGAAACCTCAATAATTCGGAATCAGAAGAAGAAATGCGATAATCAATAGTCCAAAGACGCAAGTAAACGCCGATTCCCATAAGCATTACGAGCCCTAGTAGAAATAGGAATATTTGTCGCCTCTTCCTTCTCCCCATTTTTTCAGCTTTTTACGAGCTTCATATCAATGTTTTTCTTTTTCCTTTTTTGCCATTTTTCTACCTTATTATTATTATAATTACTTTTCATTAATTTAATATATTCTTTTTCCTGAAAATCTTGCACCAATTGCACTTCTAAATTTTATATTTACCAATATTTTTTATTTAATTTTTTATATTTTAGTATTTGTGGTATTATAATCTTAATTATCATTAATCTTAATGCTAATATTAAAAAGAGATGTTACAATACAAAAATTTCAATATAAGTATACAATTTGATAAATGTGATAAAAATATTGAGATGATATAATATTTAAATAAATAGATAAGGGGTTTTATACAAAATTAATGTAATTAAATACAAAATTCGAAACTTCATATAAATATTTTATTATTGTTTAAGATATGTGGACCAAAATTCTGGTAAGGACTGAAATTAAAATTTTGAAATGGAGGGGGACTAACTATGAAAGATATAGTACCATTAACCTATCATAGCAGGTCACTTGACTAACACTCTGAATTTTATGGACTAAAATACAATTTTTGAAATGGAGTGGACTGTAGACTAATTACTATGAAAGTCTTTTTTGCAGGAAAGGACAGATAATATTTGATCCGTATCACTCTGCAAAAAGACAGAAATGTAACTAAAAATAGCATGGTACTGTACATGCATAAATAAATTAATAATTTATGTACTAAGTTAGTGGCTAAGCTAAATGCTAAAAATAATTTATAGGCAAATATATAAGAATATATTGTAGACATATAATAATTTCAATTTTCACTCTTTTATAAAATATAAATTTAAAGTATATTAGTATTCTATTATAAACACAATAAACACAATATATATATATATATATATTATATATATATATATATATATATATATATATATATATATATATATATATATATATATATATATATATATATATATATATATATATGCACTGCATGACAATAAACTATTTATCTAATAGTCAAGAATTGGTTTGGAATAAACACCAAACAGACAATTGGAAGTAATAGTAATTCAAGATTAGGAAAATATAGAAATTCAAATAGTAATAGTAATTCAATAACTGCAGAGGTTTTCGAGACACTAATTACTGAAAATATAGGAATTCAAATAGTGATAACATTTTTTGATTCCAAAACACTTGGAAAAATTGAACCATTATTTATGCATAATAAAGGGTACGGTCTTGTTTCCTAATCCCATGCATGCACCATAGTCTGCATCAACACCTCAAAAGCTTAATTTGTTCACCTGCACACATTAATTAGTTAAAACCATGTTAGCTAAAATCTTTAAATTAAACATAAAACACATTCTAGATATACCTAATTAATTACCTTCGAATGTAAAGTATATAACACGTACGTTTGGTAATCCCCAGTTAAGAAAATCGAAAGAAAGAAGCCGCCTATGAACTAACGATTTAATTTATACCCGATTATTAATGTTATAAAACCGCTAATGAATGGCAAAATTTTGCATTATGGAACTTCAAATCGACGTCTAAGAAACATAAAAAAAAAAAGCACACACGAAACCACCATACGAAAACACAACATACTGCAGGATCGAAAAAAAATCAGAAGAAATAAAAGGCATTTTTATGAAACAATTAATTAGGATCAATATCCTAGATTCCCATCTGCATCCTATCACAGAAACTTATACAGCAAACTGTATATAAATATATATAATATATTAACTCAAGATCCAATTAATTAATAGAAGTTAATCATATTAAAAAATAACACAATAATAACCAAAGAAATTAAATCCAACATTCGTCAAAAAATAATTTAACCAAAATAAAATATTCATTGCCATTAATACGAACAAGACGCACGTATACGTACAGCAAAAATATATATCACCATCTCTGAACTATGCATGCATGCAGGCCAGCTAAAAAACAGACGCAATTAAAAAATAATTAATTGATCATCCATATAAATATAAATCATCACTTAATAATTACGACTTACAGTAATTACTTGATCCAAGCATCCATAGCAATCGGGTCCTCGGGTTTCTTGGTCTTTGCATATTTCACCACCTCCCTAACTGCCGAGATCGGCGCTGCAAAAGCCACCGGATAAGGAGCACCCTTCTCCCTAAACTCCCACGCCGCAACTCCGATGAGCTCGCCGTCATTGTTGAACAAAGGGCTGCCGGTAATCATCGTCATGGATCCACTAACCTCCAGATCATTCATCATGTTGTAGTAGTTACGCGACGGAGTGGGATGGCCGGCGTTGAATCTCTGCCCGGTCAAGTCGAATTCGATCCACCACAGATCGTTCTTCAATGGCCACGGCGCCCTCACTTTGAACGTCCTCTCTCCGTGCGCCGCCCTAACGTGTCCGGCCAAGTATCCGAAGTGCATGCTGCGCAGATCCATCATAACCATTATGCAATCGCCCCTCTTCGGCGGGAAATTCGCCGTCGTGTAGTGAGGGAATGGCAGCGGCGGAAACGGCTTGAATTTCGGCGTCAGGTGGTGCTGGCATGGGGTGGTTGTCTCAGTCGGCGGCGGCTGCGGCGCCTCCGCCGCCACCGCCACCACCTTCAGTACGGCGACGTTGCTTGAGTAGTTCACCGCCACGGGGGTTGTGCGCAGGGTTCTGAGATCATGAGTGATGGCCACCGTCGTCTCGGCGAAGAGAGATCTGTGAACGACGCAGTCGTGGTTGAACACGAACGGGTCCCGTTCGTTGGGCGATTTGGGCTCGTAGGAGACGGTGACGCGTCCGGCGAGGTGGGCGGAGGTGAGGATTAGGGTTGGTTCGAGGAAGACGCCGGCGCCGGCGTAGTAGGACTCGGCTTTCTCGGCGAAGGTACTCCTGATTCTGACTAGGGATGGGGATAAGTATTCGTACATTTTGTCTGCGTGCCTTTTGAACTCCGAGAATGAGCAGCAGCGCGTGGTCATCGGCTGAGAGAAGCGGCGCGTCTTCGGTTTGACATCACCGCCGCCGCCGGAGAAGTGAGGGAGGAGTGACTTGTTGAAGGTGAAGGTGGGTACTGCTACTAGTGCCATAACTTGTAGAGAGAGAAAGCTGATTTTAGAGAGATGCTAGGGTTTAAGCTGATTGCAGAAGAACGATTGATGATTGATATATATATATATATATATATATAGGCAAAAGCAAATGCAGCCAGAGGAGAGAGTGTGGCCAGTCGTACGTAACTGCCGCTGGCTGCAGTTTTGGCATTATTATTATTTTAATTTATTTTTTCAAATTTGTTATTAATCTGTTATGGATATATAAGACAAAACAGACATGTAAATTATTAATTATTAATTAACTTATTAATAATAATTGTTAAAATTAATTTTTAATTATTTATCTGTTTTAGTACTCAAGACATGTAAATTTCCAATATTTAATTATATGTTCATTTTGGGTATTTCTATGATGGTTAAGGTCACTCGTTCCACAACGATATATCGATCGATTTCGTTAATTACTAGTTATACGACACCGTTAGTAAAAATTAAGCAATTTGTTTTATAGTAAATATATTATTTAACAGTGGGGAGATTAGCCAAATTTATTTATTTTTTTAAATTATTAAAAAAAATTAATCGGTGAAGGTTTACGTGGCGCATGAAAGAGGGGATTGAAGAGAAACAAATCGAGCTGTGATTGTCGAACAAAGCTAGTCATTCCTGCACTGTGAGCACAAACAGAAATTCTGCAAGTTTTCCGTTGACGACACTCAGTACGTTGTTCTTTACAAGGTTGTAGAACTTGTAATCCATGGCGAGATTATATCCGTGGAGGTTGAATAACTCGAAATTGATTCATCTGAAACGCGCATCGTAATTTTTTTTATTCAATTTGGTAACTTTTCTGGTTTGACTAGACATAATTCACAAGGCCCAATTTTATTAGTGTTGTTAAGTACATTTTACTAACTATTGTGCTCGAAATTCATTTTGTTTCATACTCATTAATTAATAAAAAATAATCTAAGGGTTACATTTAATTTATTTCCTAAAAAGAAAGAACAACCCAACAGTGAAAAGTGAAAACATAACCAAACGGGCCCCACATTCCCCTCCAAAACAATATAACAAATTAGAACTTGAACAGTAACAACCACGGGGTGACGCCAGCGCGTCACGCGGAGGTGGGGGGACCACACAGATTGTCCAACGTGGCATAAACATACGCTGCCAAGAGTTGAGCATAAACTGATGGTACAATTCGCGCGCTGCTGCTGCAGCACTCTCTGCAGGCATTTGCAGCAGAGCAGAGCAAACGATTGGCCACTCCTATAGATACATAATTTTGTGTGTGTATATATTACAGACTGGAAATTACATTTAATGATTCACCACTTCTCTTTGTTTTAGTGTTGAACCGAACCGACTCACCTCCTCTCTCCTTTTCTTCTTCACCTCTGTTTCTAGAATCAACTTCTGAGGGTTTTGCCCATGGAATCTCTCTCTCTCTCTCTCTCTCTCTCTCTCTCGATAATGTCGACGAACTTCAAATATATACAATATGATAATTGAGAATCTCATTGTTCGGACTCTAAGAAAAACATTTCAAAAAAAAAATTGTGGATAACGTGCGCACAAGGTATATGCCGTTGTTCTTACCATAATATTTATTGTCTATATATATATATATGTATGTATGTATACACACACACACACACATACATGTGTGTGTGTGTGTGTACAGTCATGCGCTTCTATGGTGGGGATTAGTTTTATGGTGTCCTATTTGGTGGAAGTTGATACTTGTTAATGGTGTGGTTAAGCGAGAAATTTCATTGTGAGAAGAAATATTTAAGAAGAGATATATTCAGGGGTTTATTGATGTTATTTTTGCTACATGGTGGTGCAGTGTTGATTTTCTGCTTTAGTGTCTGAGGCAAATCGAATAGGAAGTCGAATAGTCGAATATCTCGTATTATAAGCGATTTCTGGTGTTCCAATGTTGTGTCTAGAACTGCCATGATTTTTTTTTATTCTATTTCCTTTCTCGACCGATATGCCATAAACTTGAAGGTCTGTTCATGGTGGGTGATTAATAAGAAGAGGCGATTGAAATACATTTTGAATACTTACTGTATAAGGGGCAAGCTTTTTTTACCATTGCACATTTGGCTTTTAATTTTCTACTTAGTTTACGGTATGTGATATTTATGTTCATGTTCGGAAAGTAAGATTTGATTCGAAATTATGCATATGCTGTTTGTTTGAATGCATTTGCCTTTTTCTTAAAAAAATCTAGAACAGAGAACTCGCAGTTTCTTCATCTTTACTGGGAATGATGGAATGTCGTATATGTGAAGTGCGATTCGGAGAAACTGCTCTTCTTCTCTTTGTGTTTTTCTTTCATTACGAGTGATGAGTGTTGTTTTTGCTGCTTTGACGTTGCATTATTTTGTTATTTTTGTTATCTTCATTTTGCCGTCATTATTCGCGATTGTGATCAAAGTATATCATGTATATGTATTGTTCCAGATCAGTGCACAGTGGAAATTAAGTTGCTGAGAGAGAGGGAAATACGAGTATCGTTCAAAGTTGTGGTATGGCTAACTGTAACAAAAATCGGAAGCAAGGTACTCGGGCAGTCCAAACTTCAAAACCGAAGAAGCTAAATGGCCACATGTATAAGCAGTTTCTGAAATCGAAGGTGAAAAAAGCCAAGGAATCAGGTGAATTAGTTTTTATAGATTATTTTAATACTGTGGTGGAGACAAGTTTGTTTTTGTTCTTTAAATGGCTTTCTTCATCCCTCGATTATCCGGAAATTCGCTGGGCTGTGCACTTTCTGGTTAAACCATGGTTATACATTTGAAGCTTACATCCTTATAGTAAATTGTAATGTAATAAAGTTGGATTTGCTCGGGATAATGGGCACTATTTTGACTCGTCTCTCGTTTATATCCGATTTAAATGCATTTATCATCAATGAAGCCTGTAATGTTGCAAGTTAAAGTATGTTTACTGCAAATGAACATAGTTTGAGTCTTTTCATTAGATTAGTCCTTTTTTTCTCCAGGCTAGTAAGCAGTTATTGGTTAACTAACTATCTTGGGTTTCTCCTAATATTCAGATATTCCATGTTTGGCAGATCTAACAGTTCAGAAAAAGGAAAATCTGCCTCAGAGCCAGGCAAATACTGAACCAAATGGTTTCAATGATTGTAAGACAACCGTTACAAATATCTCCTATTCGCATTCACAACAGGAAAAGGAAAAGCTGAATCAAATTGAAGGAAAAGCTGAAGCAAATGGTTCCGATAATGGCGAGACGACCAACACAAATATCTCTCTTTCTCATCCACAACTGAAAACTGAAAAGCTGTCTCAAAGTGAAACAAATAGTTCCGATGATGACAGGACAACAAACACAAATGTTTCGTTTTCACATTCACAACAGAAAAGGTAGTATTTGTGTCGTTGAACTTTTCTAATAATTTATGTTTAGAGTCTGATGATTGTTGAATCTAAATAGAAGGATAGGTTTGGTTTCTTTTGATATGTAGTATGGCAATCATATTAAACTAAAGTATGTCGTACGACCTAGCAACTTTACTCTAGGATATATATAAGTAAATATCTGATACCTCTTTTTTTGAATTTAATATCCCTTTCCTATTCCGTTTCTCCCTGCTTTATAGCAACTTTACTCTAGGATATTGCTTTGCAGGGTGGAACTTCTGCTGAGGCGGGTACGATGTTCTGATCACGAGGAAATAATTAAGAGTTCTGAGAATGACACTCAAACTAAGGTGAGTTTCCGTATGTTGGACTTTCATGCCATCTAAATTTGTTTTAGCTGAGATTAATGCTTTCCTATTTTTTTCATGATTTTGTCCCACGGTTATTTTTATTTCATGATTTTATTGGCAAATGATTCAATATATGATGAACTTGCAGAAAAGAAATAGCAGCAGTTTGGAGAGACAGTGTAATCTGGATATTTCTAAGCTTAAAGAGAAATTGGCACGTCACGCCACAACTACATTTGTGGAGTATTGGGTTCCTGTCAGGCTCTCCGACGTGCAAATGGAGCAGTATTGTGGCTCTCTGTTTTCAAATGCAAGCGTATTATGCTCTCCTTTAAAGCTTGATTCCGTAGAACTCCTCCTTGATATACTCGTCTCAAACAGAAAGGTTTGTACTTTCTCATAAAGTTGAATTTCTATTTGTTTCAGATTTTGCTCGTTTGGCTTAGCTGTCTTCTGACTTGTGTAATTTTTTTCTTGCAGTGTTGTGATCATCCTTATCTTGGTGACTGGTCTTTGCGCACCTCTTTCGTACAAGGTTTTCCACAGCCCCAAAAATTGGATGCAGAAATTAAACTGAGTAACAAATTGCTTCTTCTTCATAAGATCCTTCTGGAGATTAGAAAACGAGGATTACGAGTACTTATCCTTTATCAGGTAGTTAGGACACTTCAAATTAAATATAGTCTTCACTGTAATTGTTCTATTAGTGATGTTGACGAAAACTTCGCATAAAGTTCAATATCTAATTGTGATATTCATTTACGTAAACGTTTCTTTGATTCCACAGCATCTTTGAATAATATTCATTTTAGCTTGTCCTCTGTTTTCTGATGCTCACTTGCTTATGATGTAATAATGCATGACTTAATACTTCACTTTAAATTCCTTACAACCAAGCAGTCACTTGGCGGCTCTGGATCGGTTTCTACTGGAGATATTTTGGACGACATTATTCACGAAAAATTCGGCGAAGATTCATTTGTACGAATTGGTGGAGGCGGAGGATTATCCCCCGAGAAAAGGCGAGCTGTCTTAAATACCTTCAACTGTAAAGGGAGCGATAAATTTGCTTGTCTGATGGAAACACGTGCCTGTATTCCGAGCATTAGACTTGAATCTATAGACACCGTTATTTTCTTCAACAGTGATTGGAACCCAATGAACGACTTGAGATCTCTACAGAGGATCAATCTGCATTCCCAATTCGAGCAGGTGAAGGTTTTCCGTTTATATTCATCTCACACAGTGGAAGAAAAATTTCTTATTTTAGCCAAGCAAGGAATTGCTCCAGAAGGTAATATACTTAACATAAAGAAAAGCACGTGTTATGAGATGTTAACATGGGACGCCACGCACTTATTCGAAAGGTTAAAAAAGTTGCATGATTTCGCTACTCCTGATATAGATTCGATTATTTCCGATGAAGACTCTTTTGTGGAAGATGTGTTTCTTGAGCTATCAGGTATATTGCCTAATAATGACACGAGCAATGTCTGTAAGGACAAGTCATTAATATTGGAAGTAGAGCAAATCGAAGGTGGTTATCCTAGAAATGTATCTTTACTTGGTGAAGTGGATAGATCTTCGTTAGTGGAAGAGGGGATAGTCAAAGAACCACCGCACGTTTTCTGGATCAAACTATTTGAAGGGAGGAAGTTTAGGTGGAAATATTTCTCCAGTCAATCGTCTAGGATTAGAAAAAGCGTGCAGCGTTTTGAGGATTTGATTGGAGTATCCGTCGGGGCAGAAACAGAAACAGCTTCCAAGAAATGCAGGACAGAGCCCAGAAACGCTGTTTGTCAAATTCCCCCGGTCATCAGAAGGAGAACTAGAAGGAAACTTCAAAGTCGAGATAACAAACGACAACTGACAGGTTTGCCCGGTCTTCTGAAATGAACTCCATTGATTTACTTAAAATTGCAAAAATATTGTCGGAAATCGGCGAGGAATTCTGATTATTTCCTTCGACAAATGATGTATCCAGGTTTTAAAAGACGTCGGAGATTGTGGACTACACCGATGCTGGAAAAGCTATCCTCAATGGATTTCTCTTCTCCGGTAAAGGATGTTTTATTTATCTTATATTAAAGCTGGCACTTTATTTTTTACATCTGCTGTCTTAAAAAACCCATTGTTACTATATTTTCTATTGTGTGATCAGTTCTTTTGGTAAAATGTTTGCTAGGTTCATTGAGAAAATATTATATATATTATATGATATTTTGCTCTACTTTTGCAGCTGGCTCCTAACGAACAGGAACATGCGCCTTCATCCACTATCGTGCAAAATGATCACACTCATGTTACTGTTGGCCCTAGTTTCGAAGCTCTGTCTGATATATACTCACTCATTGAGAATTCAGTCAGGCCATTGGAATCTTCCATGGAATATTCTATCGGGGAGGTGCCTTTGGAAGCTGCTGCATCACATATGTTTGGTGATAGGAGACAGAAAAATCTACAAGTTGGTTATAATTCGCTCCAGATAGAGTTGGAAAGCCTACAAAAGCAGAAAACCAAAATTTCCGAACGGCGTGAAGAAATGGTTAGTCTTTTTTCCACTTCAAATTTTTTTTTTTTTTGTTTCTCAGCCATTTGATATGTTACACTCCGAATAATTTATGGCGCTTGATATAATCAAACCTGTAGAAACTGCAAATGAAATTGGCATGCGAGAAAGAGATTGAGGAGATACGCAAAAAGTACGATACGCAGCTTCAGAATGATGAGATGGCTTTTGTGGAAGAGGAATCAGCTATCGAGACTCGATACAAGAAAGTCTATATGAACAAACTATTAGCTGAGGCTCTGATGCGGAGAGATATCCCCCAAGATGCAACTCCTTCGCTAGGTTTGTGAATTTTGCAGTTGAGGAACTTAAATTTTGCATGATTTGTCCGATTTTCTTGATTTGCCCTCAACTTTTGACACATTCCTCTATTGGGCAGTGGTTACTAAAGATTCTACAGAGGAGTTATATCAGCTAATTTCTCAGTGGCCTCAATCGATAACAGAGAGAAGATCGCCTGAAGAAGTTTCCGGAAACTTACAAACTTCAAACGAGATGACGCAGTGGTTAGCTACGTATCCAACTAACACGGAGACCAGTGCGACCGATTCACACATGGATTTGTTAGTCTCATTTGGACCACTTCTTCAACCTCCAGTGGCTCTTACAACTAGCCAACTAAGCAATCCAACTGCCCCTCTTGCAAGAAACCCTCAAACGAACTACGTAGTAAGGGCGCCGGCTCCACACCTTAGGCATACGTGGAATCCTATGCACACTTTAACTCCCAAAATTTCGTCTCCTAGTGGTGGAATAGTTTATTCACCGGTTAGTCTTCGGCCAGTGGCATCTAATGTAATGATGCCTCGACTAGCTTCTAGAGCGATTTCGTGCTCGTTGCCTTCTCCGTTCGGGTTGCCACTATTAAAATATTGACCAACATTTTTGTAGTAATTTTGCTTTTGTAATCCCTTTTTGTTTATAGAACTTGGGTGGAGATTTTTTTGTTTAGATGGTAACTGAATATAGTTATGGAGATAGTTTTTTTTGTTGAAATCGAAATAGTTGAAATTCAGAAATCCAAAATTTATGGTCATCTATAATACAAGATTCATAATAATATTAGAATTATAAATTTTGTAAGTGTAGTTTTCACCAACCCCTTACCTAGCCTTACCTATTCAATAGGGTACAACAGCGCAGCAACAAAATCTGAGTCGCAGAGAATAAATACCCACTCCCACTCCTACTCCTGCACCTATATATTAAATCACTCACCTCAGGGTTTCAAACTCATCCCTTCATTCAATCGGCTCTTAGTTGCAAAAAAATTTCATTCATCGCCGAAAGCTGAAAATGGAGTACGAAGGAATTCTTCTGGGAATGGGAAATCCTCTTTTGGATATTTCCGCCGTCGTTGATGAAGCATTTTTAGACAAGTAATTATCTCGCTGCCCCTTCTTCACACACACACACACACACACAGCTCTGCATTTCGATTTGTATGTGTGTTTCAGCTTGAGATCTGGCGATTTATCGCATGTTATGATGTTTGCGCGCTCGTATTTTTCCGATCTGTATCTAAATTTGATAAGAAATTTATCTTGTTTGACGCTGTGTGTGTGTTTATATATGCGCTTATATAATTTTATGCCTTTTTTTGGTTTGTTTGATGGCTCGTTTTCAGCTCGTTTTGTAGATCTCGGTTCGTAATTTCGTATCCATATTTTTAGTTCTGGCAATTTATAATATTATTCGATTCTTTGCATTACAGATACGATCTTAAGTCGAACAATGCGATTCTCGCAGAGGAGAAACACTTGCCCATGTAAGTAATGCGATGATAGTTATCCATTTTGATCTGTGTTTTCGGTAATTAGATTTATGATTTCTAGTGCTTCGGATGCGAATGGTTTTTCATTGAGTTGCTAGTAATTGTAGAGTCCTTATGAATGACGATTTGGTGTCTGATTGTTTGTTTGTATCAATGTATTTCATAGGTACGATGAAATGGCATCTAAATACAAAGTGGAGTACATTGCCGGAGGTAAGATTAAGGCTAAATTTTTTCGAATTCGGTCCTGTGTTACACTTTTCTATATGGGATCAACACTTGTAACCGATTTGCGCGATTTTCTAATGCAGGTGCTACTCAAAATTCAATCAGAGTTGCACAGGTACTTGTCTTTCTTATTTGTGGCTTGATAACGTGGTCGGCATATTACTTTTTTGTTCTTACCGAATAACGACTCTCAAATTGCAATTTTCAGTGGATGCTTCAAATTCCTGGTGCAACTGCTTACATGGGCTCGATTGGCAAGGATAAATATGGGGAGGAAATGAAGAAAAATGCAAAAGAAGCTGGTGTTAATGTAAGCGTTTTGTCTTAGTTTTGGACATTTTTAGCTACAATTATCATCTGTTTGATAACTAACATTATCATCAAAATGACGTCTCCTATTAAGGGAAACATAAGCATGAGTTTCATTATAATTTCTTTGTTTACTTATGTTCGACTTGGTTAAACATTGAAACTTATTTGTTATAGCGTCAAACTAAATTTTCTATCATGTTTTTATCTCAAATTTTTTTTCACTCGACATTCATATAGAGCTATAATGGTAATATATTTTGTGTCGTTCCTATTCTTGTGATTGCATTAGGTTCATTACCATGAAGACGAATCTCCAACTGGAACCTGTGGTGTATGTTTGGTTGGCGATGAAAGGTCGGTCTCGTTTTTAACATCTACATACCCTCTCTTTCATGTTTTGATTTGCAAAATTGGATTTTTCACTTGATGAATAAATTGTACAAGTTTATAGATATAACTTGAACACTTATTTGTGCTAATTGTTAAGAAGAGTTGAAGCATTATATGTTTTTTTCGTATTAAGTATTTCTCCTTCATCCTTATATATTATTATAGAAGTTGTTTACTGGTTGTACTACCAGAGTACTGGAAAAAGGTTATAAATGGAATACAAGAAAATAGTATTTTCACTTTCTTCTTGTTCCTATTTTATCAAACATTCCTGCTTTTTCAAATTTTTATTTTTTTTGAAAAGATCGGATTTTTTTTATTCTAATTCCTTCTTTTGGCATGGAATCTACTTTCTGAATCCGGAAATGTAATGAGTATCTTTGATTTAAGTCTCTCTCAGAGTGTCCGAACATCCCTTTCATTTGTGCCAATAACCTTGTTTAATTTTGTTTCAAGATGTATGGTCAATATAAAATAATAGACATCATTGACTTTCATATTACAGATCACTTGTTGCCAATTTGTCAGCTGCAAATTGCTATAAAATTGATCATTTGAAGAAACCAGAAAACTGGGCATTGGGTATGTTCGACATGTTTGATTGCAATTCTATCTTATGAATTCCGTAAAATTTACTCGTTTATCTTTTGACAGTTGAAAAGGCCAAGTACTACTATATTGCCGGGTTCTTTCTCACAGTTTCGCCAGAGTCCATCATGCTTGTTGCTGAGCATGCAGCTGCTAAAAACAAGGTCTTAAATCAACCAATTAATTTGTTTAATATCTCAATGAAATTATTTCTTCTCCTAAAAGTTCATTTCTATGTATAGGTTTTTACAATGAACCTTTCTGCCCCGTTTATCTGCGAGTTCTTCAAGGATGTACAAGACAAAGCATTCCCGTAAGTACACTTTCTTGATTATCTTTATTACATAGATATGATGATAGCGAAGCAATATATTAATTGAGGGCATATTACGGTTTCGAGTTCAGGTACATCGACTATGTTTTTGGAAATGAAACCGAAGCAAGAACTTACTCCAAAGTTCATGGCTGGGAGGTAATAATTTCGTTCAACCTAATTACTTTTTTTTTTTTTTTTAACTCACTACTAAACTGAAGCATTTATGTTTGAACAGACTGAGAATGTGGAAGAAATAGCATTGAAAATTTCCCAGTTGCCTTTGGCAACTGGGAAACACAAACGAACAGCCGTTATTACACAGGGTGCAGATCCAGTTGTGGTTGCTGAGGATGGTAAGGTGAAGACCTTCCCTGTTATTCTCTTGCCAAAAGAGAAACTCGTCGATACGAATGGTGCAGGTGTGTGAATTTTATCTTGCACTACGAACCTTCAAATTACCAAAACTAATATTATTTAATTTCAACAATTATTTCCACGCCAACAACTACATAATGCAAATGTGGAAAATTAGGCATTAACTTTCCGTTATCTACTTACGTTGCAGGAGATGCATTTGTCGGCGGGTTTTTGTCTCAATTGGTTCTGGAGAAACCCATCGAAGATTGCGTAAAAGCAGGGTGTTATGCAGCTAATGTCATTATCCAGAGGTCCGGCTGCACTTACCCAGAGAAGCCCGATTTCTAAATAACACGCTTTTAATTTGCCATGAAGTTAAATTTTGATTGTTGAGAAACTTATTGCAATTATTTCACATTATAGCATTTCTAAGTTATTTTTTTTACAAGGGATTTTGATGCTCACCCGTATTATTATTAGTCGTATTTATCGTCCCTTGTCAGCTTCATTATTTTAGATCTAAATATTTTTAATTTTCATTATCATATTAAGTAATCTTATTATATTATGTTAAACCATGTTGCTGAGATTCAATTTTAAATTCATGGGTAATAGTTTGTTTGAGCTCAATTATTCACATGATGAACAACTAAATTTGAACATAATTTTCGTTCTATAAGACACGAAATTAGACTCGAGCTTAAAAGGGTAAATTAAGGCCATTCTCCTAATGTAAGGTCAAATTACGAACCCCTTTATAGTTAGGTAATTATAACTAGTCCTAAACCATGAATCTTTTTACGCATCAATTTTTATCGCGTCAAATTCAACATAATCTTCTAAATTACGTGAAATGTTATCTAATTTATTCTCGTTTTATGCAAAAAGACAATTTACAAGCCAAAAGCAGCATTTTACGATTATCTTGCTTCAAAATGTTAAGCTCGAATGAGATAAAACAAGTACAAACTCGAAGATATTCCATATAATTTAGAAGTATCTAATTTACCCTTGAAAAAAATAATAAAAAGTATATATAAATTCAAATTTGTATATTTGGTTCAATTAAAGTTTAAGATAATTAAGTTTTAGTTCAGCCAAATAAATACAAAAAGAAATTTGGAAAAAAGCCAAAATGACAGTGCAAGAAGTCAAGAACACAACTACTGTTAATACAATTTCCCCTTTCCCCTAAAAGCAAAATTAGATATTAGATAAACAAAAAAAAAAATTAAATCTTTTTTCCAGATTAATTTCTTTCTTTAATTTCCTTTTCCATGTCCAAGATCCAAGATTCGTACACACAAATCATTGCGAACTTTCCCGATCTCAAATATCTCTCACCACATTCCTCACCTCCTCCGCCATGGACCACCACCACCACCACCATCCCCCACCTCCGCCGCCGCTCATCCGCCACACAACCACCACCCAAATCCTCAACCACGCGGCGTCGCTGTTCTACTCCCACCTCCTCACCTTTCTGTTCCTCTCATTCCTCCTCCTCACCTTCCACTCCAACGTCAACATCGCCGTCAACTACATCTCTTCTCTCATCGACACCGACCCTTCTCTGAAATCTCTCCTCTCCCGCATTGATTTGTCCGACTCCCCACGTCTCCACCCCCACCACCACCACCACCACCACCGCCACCGCCGCCGCCGCCCCTTCCTCCAGCTCTCCCGCGTCGGAACCCTCGACGACGAGTTCTTCTCCGGAGGCTCCGATTTCGACCGCTCCCTCTTCCACCCCTCCTCCAGAAAATCCACCCCCAATGCCACTCTCCTAATTCTCTCACACTTCAATTCCAATTGCGATTTCGATTTCCCCAAAATTGTCAAGCCCGGGGTTTTCACTCTTAAGCCCGAATTCGACAAGATAATCTCACTCTCGGAACAAGACGAAATCAAATTGGTGGAAACCAGCTTAGAAGACAATGAATCAGTCGTGGGTTTGAATTTCTTGATTAAGGGCTTCGAATTAGGGCACCCAGAGGCTACTTCTCTGTTCTTCTTGGTTGGGGTTTTCTCCTTAGCCTATGCATATGCTGTGTTTGCATTCATCTTCACTTACACTTGGGTCAGTGGGGTTATTTTCCTCAAAGTTGTCGACAATTTGCTAGGAAACTACCGATCTTTTCTCCGCACGTTTTGGAAAGGTTCGAACATCGGGCTGAGGAGGCTATCGGGCTTTATTCTGCTGAAATGGGCTGTGAGGGACGCTCTTGCCGAGCTATTGGGAATATACTTCTTGGGTGAATTCGATGATCAACATGATCTGTTTAAAGTTTTCTTGAAAATGAAATTCATCCCGTTTTCCAATTTGTCGCCGTGGATGAAAGGGCACGAGTGGGAGAGTGCGGGCTTCGTCGCAATCTGGCTGTTGAGTGATTTGATCGTAGGGTTAGTATTCGCTGTCGGGTCTTGCGTTGCGGTTGTGGATTCGAGGAGAGGCGGGAGAGAGATTGTTAGAGAAGGTTACGATATGCTGGTTGCTCTGTTTTCCCCTGCTTTCACAATTAGGTTTCTGGAAGCGCTCGTTTGCGGCTGTGTTGGCAGGTTAATGTTACGGAGGGCGTTTGGGGACGGTTTTACGATGTTCTTGCAGTCTTTGATGGAGGTTTATTTCATGGTGGCTTGGCTGATTTTTTACTTTGCAGCGAGGCAGAAACACGGTGGTTCGCTCGGAAGGACATTTGGTCGGAGAGAATTCGAAGGTCTTCTTAATGTCGCTCGATGACACTCGATTTTATAGTAAGTGAAAGTTAGTGGTAAGTTCGAACTGTTGAATAGAGTGTAACGATAATTTGGTGCCTTTTTTTGTTGCTTATATTTCGAGATAAAATGTGAATTAGCACCGCCATTCTTTGGTGACGTCACCATTTATGCCGTTCGGTAGTGTATATAGAATGTAAAAATCTACGCTCAATTTCTTCGTAAGGGCATCTTCATTCGTATACTGCATATAAGCGAACACTAGCGATGCTATATTGCGTTTTTTTTTCTTTTCGTATTGACGTTTACGTCCTTGTGCAATCGCATGGAGGAAGTTTGTGTTTACTATTTCCAAAGTTTACTTGTTTGGATTAGGAAAAAAAGAATAACGATTGATTGTAAGCTTTAAAACGATGCGGAGTGCACGTATTTTATGGCAGTTCGTTACCAAGTAAAACTCGTTTACGAACCTTAATGACAAGTAAACGGAATTGCGTCTTTCTTTAGATGAATTATCAAACCGTTTGTACGAAGTGCCGTTGGCTTCTGGTAAAACAGGTTTTGGAGAAAACACTGATGTTGAACAGTAAGTTCTGCTCTAGGCTTGCCAATGGTTTTTCAATCCTGTTTGTTGATTACAAGTAGAATTGTTTTTCTTAATTGATTCTGAAATGCTAATCGAAAAAAAAAAGTGTTAAAGAGCTTATAAGCTGTTTTCAAAAAAAATACATACACCCACACCCACCTTCTTTTCTTTAAATAACTAATTAGCTCATTTAGACATTTAGTATCAAATTACAAAACAACACTATAAGCTTCTTAAAATTTAATCTTTAAAAATAAGATCTAACAACCAGCTTACCAACTCTAAAAATATCATATAGGACATTAAGATGTATGCACTTATAAAATATTTAAATAAGTTTAGCCAAACGGACCTGGAAACCAATTAATAAAAAACGAGCACCGAAATCCCTGAAAGAGAAGTCTACGAAAATGGGCAATCGAGCCCATTATCAGTATCAAATTTAAAGTAAAAAAAATAAAATCATGTCGTCTACAAAATTGAAATGCTAAATTCCGCACTAAATTAGTAAATGTTACTGAATTATATACTCAATTTAACTTTTTTGAAGTGATCTTAAATTCATGCAATAACTTATTTAGAAGGGTTTTTTTTTTAATCTAATTATTTGCAAAATTACATTACATTATAATAATATTTTAGTTATTTAACCGAATCACCCGACCCGAACCCGAGAGAATCCAAGGTTCGAAAAATGGGCCGATACAAACAATGGAGAATGATTCTCTTACTCTTCCGAATATCAATAATGAATATACATTTCCCTCTTCCCACATACACATAATACAATTTCAATTTCTTCACCGGAAAAAAAAAAAATTACACACAGTCATCCTAATTAATTCAAATCGGTAGTTAATTTTTTGAATCAGAACGAATAATCAATCTCACACCCGCAAGTTTTTTTCAGAATCGAGCGTACACGTCAAACGCAGCACCAGACATCGGAGAGCCGCCGGTCGGGCGGAGATCTGGCGCACTGAACAACGCTGAGGAAGATATTCTCGTCGCAGGGGATGCGCAGCCGTGAATCAGCGGCGGCGAAGTCGTAAACCTCCTGCGCTTGATCCAGCAGCGCCTGGAAAAGCGGGTGCTTCAGCAAGTTAACCTTGATCACAAACCGTTTGTGAAATTGCCCCACATAAACCACCAGGTGCCCCTTCGGCACATCGTTCGGCACGACCTTCTCCTTGTGCAGCGCGTACCGCCACACGCAGCACTTGTCGCAATCAGACGCGCTACAAGGTATGATTCTTCTCCACTTTCTCATGCATGCTTTCAGATTGAACTTTCCCTTCGTACAAGTGTTCATCTTCTTCCAATTACCTTTCCCCCCTTTGTAGGTGTGTTGTGTGTGTGTGTGTTTATTTAGCTAGGTTATGGGAGTGATGTTTGAAATATAAATGTGAGGAAATCTTTATATATATATATAAGAGTGGGAAAGAACTAATCTTTCTTGGATCATTAAATGTGTGAGTGTGATTTTTTAAAGTGCACTTGTAGTGCAGGTTGCTCTGCTGTACGTACTTTATTATTATTATTATTTTCTCTCTTATTTTATTTAATTTAGTATTTTATCTCCATACGAAATTGTACGAACAGTCATTGCATGATTGGGAGTAATATTTAATTTATCCTATCATAATACAATAATCTCTCTCTCTCTCTCTCTCTCTCTCTCTCTCTCTCTCTCTCTCTCTAAAGGTGAGATCTTTAGAAAATTTGGAAGGTAAGACCCACAGGGGGGTGGGGGTGAGGAGTAATTGAGGAAGGGAAGGAATAGATAAGATATGAAAGAGGGATGGGAGAGATAAGCTTCTTGGGCAAAGTGCAATATCCACTTATAACTCTCTCTTCACCTTACTTAAGATAATATAAATAAAAAGAAAGAAAGAAAAAAAAACTAGCGCATCTCTGTGCGTGCGTTCGTGCGAGTGAGATTCAGATGCTAATAAATGTACGATTATGTAGAAGGGGTTTGTTGGGATTTAGAGTGTTGAGTGGACGATTACGTCCCGTTTTAGTGAGGGATCTACCGTTTACGGTTACTTGTTCTTGACTTGTGAAATCTTGGTATCGGTTCTGATAGGTTGTGATTATGATCTAATTGTCCTTGTAATTAGGGGGTAATTAGTTAGTTAGTTAGTTAATTAGTTGATGGGCAGTGCATGAAGTGAAGGGAGTACTACTGACCGTACTGAAATTAGAATTCTTTATGCAGACAAAATTATCAAAATCTTTTTCAATTTCTGATTTCTGACCAAATCACATTGGGATTGCGGAAAATAATTTATCCATGAGCCAGAAAATAAATACTACAAGAAAGGGAAGTCTTAGGTTAAATATATACATATATTTACTACATCATTATATAAATACTCTATCCCCAAGGTACTTTCCCATGTATATTTGTCTTATTCGTTCGATTTTTGCTTGTACTAATCTGTTCATATTCGTTCTTGTTTGAATTTGTTCATTTGGTGGGACACTAAATATAGATTGATTTTGCGTATTATAATCCCCATAATTTTGGCTTTCGTACCAAAGTAGCCTGTCTCTAATACTATGTTTAGAATTTGAAAATATGGGAGGCATGCAATAGTGAAATTACGACGAGGCTAATAATGGTCTTCCGGATCTTACATGGTTACACATATCTTATGGATTTGTGTAGAATATATATCGATCTATGCATATATTTATTATATGATAACATATAATTGGTTGAAGTTCACCGGCCGATCTAGCATACGACACAGATCACTGCATTTGGACTCTATTAGAAGTCAATATTGTTTTAGTTTGACTACGTTCGTATTTATATCGTCTGAAATTCAGATATTGGAAAAAAAAAGGAAGGTAAATCTATACTGAGTTGTATGGTTAGAAAAACACCCTCAGAATCGCCATTCTCATTAAATTCCACGTGAGAAAGGGCAGCTCTTTGAAACTGTATGAGCTGTGAAGTATGTATGTGTATGTATATATGTATGTTGTGCATGTATATATGTATGTATGTATGTATGGATGGATGTATGAAATAGGTTGATGTGATATATCATTCATCTGAGCAGAGAAACATAATTGAAAGGCCAGCAAACTGATTCATCCCCCAAAGTACAAATCTACATTTCGGCATTTCCTCGATTTTTCGAGACGACACCAATTATTTCCGCATCTTACATTTGTTTACCGTTTACGAATGATTAAAATTTGGTGACGTGTTTGAACATGATCAGTAATTATGTCTCGGGGAATTTGAAGATTTTTGTGAGTGTATAGAGATGTTCTCTTCAAAACTCTCACAAGACTATGATTTTAAAGATTTGCTGCTAAATATGATATATTTAATGAGGAAACTATATTAGTTATTTTAAATGTGAATTTTGAATTTACACCTAATGGGTTTGAATTTGGTTTCGGGTTTCGGGTTTCGGGTTTGGGCTTATTTGATTGGGTAAATGAAGAGCACATGAGGTGTGGGCCCATTATGGGGAACATGCATGTTGTTGACACCTCAATGCACACATAGGCATCTCTGCTCACCGGCCACACTCCCATTACCTTACACTCGACTCACCCCCATTTTATATTCATATTTTTTTTACTATTATATATTTTACTGTATTTTAATATTATTCCAATTACTCAAATTAGTAAGTTATATATACGAATAATAATCGGCATCGCATGGATTGAGCTAAATTGTAGTATATTTTGTGTGGGTGTTGAAATAATATCTAGTTGATGATTGAAATGGGGGGGAGTATTGTATTTGTAATAAAACGACAATGATTTGATTTGATACGACTAGTGAATTAATTAAATAAAAAATATGACGTGTATTTCTCAGTTTTTGTAGAGGGTTGGTTATATATGTATATTAGCTGGCAGAGGTGCCCCTATTTGATTTATGCCAACTATAAAATGATTGACTCCCCCGTAGATCAGATTAAGAGTACCTTCAACAATTCTTCAAATGAGGGAACAAACTTGAGCCCCAATATATTTAATGACATCATGCCTTTACGCGTGGCACAGGAACAAATATTTTTTTAATATTATATATATGGATATTTTCAACATTATTTATCTATTAATTAATCCTCGAAAAAGTGCTTACAAGATCGAATGGGGTTATCTTGGGGTAGGTTTGTCTCTAAAACCACATATTTGTTGTGAATCATATTTAACTATTTCTCACAATAAACCCCCGCAAATAATTACAGAAAAGCTTGTATAATTAAAAATGGGGAATAGAAAAAAATAATTTGATATATGTGTGGCTGCTGGGATTCGAGCCCAGGTCTCCACGGCCACAACGTGGAATTCTTACCACTAAACTACAGCCACTATTGTTGATTCGTTTTATTTGTTTCCTAACTTCACATTTGTTCCTGAAAAATAAGAAAACAGACAAAACGGGAAAATCAAAGAAAATGTGTGGCTGCTGGGATTCGAGCCCAGGTCTCCACGGCCACAACGTGGAATTCTCACCACTAAACTACAGCCACATCTGTTTTCAACAGTAAACAATTATATAAATATTACAATTAACATCATTAGAATTTTCTGGTATAATTATTACGTAGCACTTTATCTTATTAATTTTTGAGGTGAACTTGACACTTGAGATTATATTATATATAAATGCTACACATTAATCGTTAAACACACAACAACATTCATGATGGTGTATAGGTGAAGTACGTTAGACATATACTCTTCAAATGTTGTGAGTTGTGACTGGGGGTGGAAAACATAGAGTTAATTGCATAGACCCCCCTGTGTTATTTCTCGGAAGCAAAAAACCCCCCCGGAAAAAAAAATTAGCATATAACCCCCTATGTTGTGTTTTAGTCAGCCCACCGCCCATTTGTGTGCACTGGCTCGTTGACTTACGTGAAATGACAGAATTGTCCTTAATAAAAAATAAAGCAAAAATTATTTCTTTGATGAGTGGTCAAATTTTAAATAACTATAATTTATAGGACCAAATTGTAAATTTTAAAATTTCCAAAATTGCAATAAGGGACAAAAATTGAAGATTTTTTCAGATCTTCTTCGTTTCACTCCGCCGCCCACCTCCCAGCCCGGAAAAACTTCGGCATCACCGCCGCCTTCTCGCCCGTCTAGCACCACCGCCGCCTTCTGGACCGTCGAGCACCTAGCCCGATCAACAGCGACGGCTTTAGTGACGAAAAGCAGGGTCCCGCTTTCAACATTTTTCGTGGCAAACAGTCCGCGACCACTGATTTCTGATTTCTTGATATCCAATGCGCCGATGTACTCTGCTAATTCGGGCGATTTCCCACGAAACCCACTCAACACCCACTCAGAAATATCGAATGCGCCGGTTCTCGACAGAAACTCGAGCCTCTTGCATTTTTCCAAGAACCCATTTACCAGATCGGAATTCTCGGTCGCCTGGGGGCCGAGATTGGCGGCGTTGAAGCAGCACAGGGCGGCGCTGTACCTGGTCCGACAGGCGGGCCCGGGCTTCGGCCCGGTTGGAGAAGGAGAGGCAGAGGAGCTTCTTGAGGTGGGGCCCATCTGGGTTTTTGGCGGCGATGCGGGTTTGGCAGAGGGAGATGATTTGGGAGTAGGTTTGGATTGAGAAGTTCTGTGGCTTTCGATCTCAGCTTTTCCATTTCTTCATCTTGATGTGCTTCTGTTTCTCTCATATTGTTTTGTTGCTGGATAATTTTTTTTTCTTTTTTTTTCTACTCGTTAATAATAATCAGGAGATGTGAAAATGATTTGAAATGTGAGGAATTTGGTGGTGGTGATTTCAATGGCGAAGAAGAAATTTGGATTTTGGGGAAGACGATTTCAGCCCACAATTTGATAATTACAATTTAGTCCTATAACTTTAGATTATTTATAATTGAATCAATCTGGGTTTTTTTCCTCTACCAAAGGGTTTTTATGTCTTTTCCTGTCCTAAAATGTCCTAAAACGCACGCCGAGCTGCATGAACCGCGAGTGTATCCCACGATTCGCTCGTAGGGTCCTTATTGTCATTGACTTCCTTTCACAGGGGGGTATTTGCTAATTTTTTTATCCGAGGGGTTTTTTTGCCAATTAGACATTTCACAGGGGAGCCGAGTGCAAATACCCCGGAAAACATATATAGTGGAATTTTCGAATTCTGCCAATTCAGATCCGAAAATATTCGACTTTGATACCCGTATTTTTCATACTAATTTCTGAAGTTCCCATTTCCGAAGTAATTATGGGACATGCATCTCGACTGTTTGTACCATTGGGGTTAACAAGTGGACGACTTCAATCATGATGAAAAAGAATAACCTATATTCCCATAATTTGATTTCATCTTTAAATATTTAAAAGGAAAAGTGGAAACTTGAATAATTCAATTAGATGGATTAATACGTTTGAAAAAGGCTTCTCCACATCCAGATTAATTTCCACTAATTAGCTATTTGATATCACAAAGGCCCTAAAACAGTAACTCCACAAGTTGACTTGTTCAATGATAATCCCCACTAATTAGCTTTACAAAGTGGAATTTTCCTATTTAGGCAACTAATTATTTGGACAACAAATTATTTCTCCTACCCCTTTCGTATCACCTACGGGAAGTTAGATGTCACACTTGGTTATTTACACTGGGTATTTGTCATCCGCGGATGAAATGAAATAACTATCCACTAAGCACACATACATATAAGTGTGTGTACGCGTGTGATTATGTGTAAATCTACTGTTTAGAGCAACTCCAATGGGGTTATCAAACATGGTATTCAAACCATTAACCACCATTTACATACTAAAAAATAGATATTTTTAACTCCAATGGGGTTATCAAATGAGGGTTCTATTTTGATAATTAATTCCCCTCTTTGTATGTAAATTTACTTGCTGGAAATTGACTTATCAAAAATGTAACTATCTAAAGATCCAATCAGAAGTTGACATGTGACGATTACAAATAAAATCACCCTTAAACTTCCAATTGATAATTGATTTTGATAACCATGGTTGGATTTGATAAATTTTAATCAATATTTAAATATTATCTCAGATATCAAATGAATATTTGATAATTCATTTTTGATATTTTGCGTTGGAGTTGCTCTTACAGTCACCTAATGTAAATAACGAGGTGTAACATCTAATTTCCCCGTAATCACTCATTTAATAAATATAATACAAGAAAGGTAAAAATATTGCTCACCCACTCACCCCTGTCTAGTTATTGGGGGGTACCCCCATAATAATAAAATTTAATTAATTTCATCATGACCAAACTAATAACAACACAAACACACACACACACACACACACACACACACATATATATATATATATATATATATATATATATATATATATATATATATATATATATATATATATATATATACTACATAGTGGTGAAACTCACCTTGTCAATCCAGATTATTTCTGCGTATATATACCCGGGGGGAGTAATTAACTCAAAATATATATAAGCCATATTCTCTTTAATCACTGTCCTTAAGAGCGAGGGTGTGGTTTTTCTTCCAGAAGCTTCTTTCAACTTTGCCACTCTCGCTCGCGCGTGTTCTATATATTACCCTAGCTACTATATATATATATATATATGTATATATATATATATATATATATATATATATATATATATATAGCTTTTGACATGATGTTTAAAGTGGCAGGTGCCGCGGGAAAATAAAGAAAATGAGGGGGGCGGCTTGTGTGGTGATTGCTTTGACGGCCTCTGTGTGCGCGGCCTCCCCACAGAGAGCTCTGGGGGCAGATGTGATCCGCTCGAACAAGGACAAAATCACCGGCACTGGCGGCGGAAGCGGCGGCCACTTGTGTGGGACAACAGAGAACCACCCCCAATAATCCAAGGCAGTACCTAATCAAGTGGGGTACCACCCCCACCGGAGGAGATGATAATGGTGATAATGGAAGTGGCAATTGAATGAATAATATGTGTGTGTGTGTGTGTGTGTGTAATAATATTGCGCGAATATGCTTTTGTTTTCCCTTCATCTCTCCTTCTTAGTTCTTAACTAATAGCTTGTGTGTTTTGAGGGTTTAGACGTACTATGTAACAACGTTATATCATGTCTGGCACGGTAATTGATATATGGATTTTTGTTTAATTTCATATAAAGATCCAAATTAATCCAATTAATAACAAGCTGGTCATATCATCTATAACTGTTAGCTATAAGTTATTAGTGTTCTTGGGTTGCCCAATGATCACTAACTCTTACTCTCGGCATTCTCTACTTTGTTGGGCTCAACGACTCTTTGATTGTCCAATCAACATTTGCAAGCAGCATCAACTAACATAAAAGAAAAGAGGGCAAAAACATACCATTTGATATGAATTTTCTAGAAATATGTAGAAATTGTAACTAAATTATAGAGATTATTTAGTAACTCCTCATAAACCTCTTGATCATATCAATCACTACAATCCATATATGATCCATTAATAGGGTGGGTAGTATAAATATTAGTAGACTTTCGTTTATAAATTAAGCAAGCAAACATTAGAGTAATAAAATCTAGATCTAGGAATCTCACAACTGGTCTTGGTTTTGGCTGCCATGTCTGGATGTTTGGTGTTTTTTTCCCAAATAAAAAACACACAACAACAGACTAAAGAACGTAAAGGAAGACGAGTCGACTCCACTATCTTCTTGTAGACACCAAAATTTGTCGTCTTTTGCATCCATTGAACTCCAGCCCAAATTAACCGTCACCGATTCAATCTTGCACTCCACTGATTTTTGAATCAAGAATTTTACATGTTCAAGAAAATTCGTGAATAATAGATCATTCTCGAGTCTACATTAAAGGAATTGAAGGTTGGCAGCATAACGTTCACCATGCCATCAAATACCTATGTCTTCATGACCATGGCATGCCATCAAGCCTGAAAAATTATCAAGAAAAGAACTCAAAAAGTGAAGTAAGTTCAGAAATTATAAAATTACAATAATCTAATTAAATTAAATACCTCTTGATGTAATGTAATAGAGTTAATGCCAGAGATAAGCTCCACTTCAAGATCATTACTCTGCAAAATATAATTTAATTTAAAGAACTTAAATAAACGAGGACAGAAAAACTTACAATAGGTTACTTAAGTTACTTTTGAGATACCATATTGGATTGTTCTGTCTGAACTTACAATATGTTAACAGTGAAAAAAGGAAAGTTATTTTCACTGTTAACAGGTTTAACAGGTTTCAAACAGAACAATCCAATTTTCAATGCAAGATCAGACAACAATCGAAACCCAATGCAAGAATTCCTGTTAACTTTGTTCGATTCAAAAGTGAACTTTGTTTTAACAGCCTCGTTTTTTTCAAAAGTGAACTTTGTTTTAACAGCCTTGTTTTTTTCCGAATTCATGAACATGTATTTCATTACCCCGTAATCATCCTCATCATGTACATAGGAAAAGAAAAAAATTACTTGATATCCATTCAAGTCAAAATTGATGGTTGTTTGTTTCGAAGTTTGCAAGTAAAAACAGTTCTCACAAATTGAGGATTTAAAATTGATAAAATTGATCTTATCGTACGCAGTAAATTGAAATGGGATTTTCGATTTCCGTCGATTCGATTAAAAAAAATTCAATCCGAATTTTGTAATTCCGACTTCCGATTTCCGAAATTATTTTGATCGGAATTGGAATATATAAGAGATTCCGATTTTCGATCCGATTTAAGTTCCGAAAATAATTATGGAAATTCCGATTTTTTTTTTTTGTAGAATATTACAATTAAGATACCAATATTATTATGTATTTCCTATTTAAGGTGACCAAAAATTGAAAATATATATATCCGAGAATTCCGCTGATTCTGATACGAATTTCTCCGATTTCGGAACAAGTTTTTTCGTTCCAACTTCCAAAAATCTAATTTCTAATTTTCTTTGGAACAAAATTGGAACTAGTTTTTCTAAAGGCTAATTTTGGTCCGATCTATCCAATTTACATCCCTAATCTTATGTTTGTTAGGAAATTATATGAAGGTTATAACTAATAATCGCTATAAATTAAAAAGGATATTGTGATAGATTTAAATAGTAAGCGAGATAATTATCTTTATAACTTTTGAAAACTATTCTTTTATTATGTTTCCAAAAACAATTACGTTTTACATTTTTAAAACTGAACTTTTAATTTTTTTTATTTTTTTTTAAGATCGGCATAAATTTGTAAAATGATGCACCACATTTTGTGTGTAAGCCTGAGTTTATCATGTAAAGACTGCAATGATTGCACAATTCCATTGTTTCACAACACCTAACTGTAGAAAAATCAGACAATTGAAACCCCAACTCCAGAGCTGTTTAGGACAGAGAGCCACATCATTCATCCAAACCTAGCTAGGACAGTTGAACAAGAAAAAGAAAATTCTATAAAATTGCCCTAGAAGAATCAATCGCCATTAATACTTCGTAAGATCCTTCTATAATCACTCAACGTAATATCCGTACTTATATCCGGAGAATCCCGATTAATACGCGCACCAATCTTGTGTTTCCGACCTTTCGGATAAGGATACACGTTCGCCAGCTCACGCACACGCCGTAAAATCGACTTCGGTAGAGGCCGCCACGCCAGATTCCTCCTCCTCTCCCCCACCTGCACCATTTTTCAGACATTTAAAAAACCAGATTAATTAATTAATGTTATACAGTCAATACAAATTCTAACATCAAAATGTTCCTTAACAGAAGAAGTGAATATTGAAAAGAAACCTGTAGACTCCCTTGCCCTTGAGATCCACTTGCTTTCAAAAGATTCCGCCATTTGTCCTATTATGTAATAAAAACACGAGCAACAAATGATGTCAGCGAAATCGCCTGTAAGAAAAAAAAATACCAAAACAAGAGTTAATTAATATCACCTTGAGGTCTACAGAAGTACGATGAGCAGAAGAAGAAAATAGAAGCTTCTTTATTCGACTCCATCTTCCGACACCATGTTCGGAAACACCATCGATTAATTTTCTAACTTCTGCAGTAGTCCATAATATATGGTGTTTCCTCCGACCACTAACTTCTTCTTCAGGACAATCAAAACTAGGATCATATTCATCTCGTTTTTTCTGACTCGGGATTGTCCGTCTTTCCCCCTTCCTTAAATGAGCTGCGATAGCATCACCTTCCCTCTTCTTCGGGCTTGCCGACGTGGCAGCACTTTCATCCCGTTTCTTTAGATTGACAGCTGTCATCTGTCTGTCACCCTTCCTTAAATGAGCTGCGATAACATCATCTTCCCTTTTCTTCGGACATGCTGATGTGGCAGCACTTTCATCCCGTTTCTTTAAATCGAGAGCTGTCATACAATCATCCCTCTTCTTTTGATTCTCTTTTGGCTTAATCGTAGGGTTTCCCCTATCTGAACCATGCACCTGTTTTATATTATCAAGTACCAACTGTGGTTCAGACAATATCAAGTGAATTTTACAGACAACATAGGATTTCGCAAAAACTTACCGCATCACATGAAGGAAGATTTGGACATTCTTTATGCGCTAAAGAACCAAACGGCACTTGAATAGCTATGATCGAAGACTCCTCTTCAGAAGGTAATATCATTGCTCGAGATCCCATTTGACATTTCTTATGATCTTTAACTACTAAAGTCTTGTCCTTAACTGTCGAAGAAGAAGAAAACTCCCGTCTTTTTTTAGAATGTCTTGAAATAGGATCTGCTAGTTCGTCAATGTACCTCTGCGTGGGCTTACGCGATCTCTTTTGCGTAGGAAGAGTTTCAGCCGACATTTTCAGTAATGTATTATCCAGCTTATTAAATTTGGTGGGGCCCACCTGACCAAATTCGTCATTTGATGGGGAGGGGCTTGTATATTTCTCGTCGGATAATACAACATCTCCAAAAGAACAGCTTGAAATATCGTGAAATTTGTCGATAATATCCTCGTTTAAAGGCTTCTTCTCCTCCTCCACCAGTGTTTCGGGCATGTTATGGCATATAGTGGGTTCCATTATGCTGAATAGATTCGATTTCCAAGGAGTGCTGTCGATATTCAGACAAGATCCGAGAGGTGGACCGTACGAGACTGAGGTTTGCAAGGCTTCTTCCCTTGAAATATAATCCAGGTTTGTAATACTTTCGGGAAATTCAAAACCTGTAACGAATGCAGGTGACTTTAGGTATGTGAAAATATAATCTTGACAAAAATCGAAGACGAAACAAGAAAGAATGCCCACCTAGAAGATATTCTTCTCCCATGCTACAGAAATCGTTTTGCAACCTAAAATACCCGTCTTCGACTTCACTACAAATCGAATCAAGTACCTAGAAAACGACAATGTCATGACATAAATTTCGAAAGAAACCAAAAAGTTACAAACCCATTATTACATACATCTCTATCGAGAATTTCATCCCCTCCCTGGGCAATACCAGTGTTGGTCAAACCTGCATAGAGACAAAAAGTTATGAGCAACGGCAGGTGATATTCAGACAAACAATCGAACAGACAGGATATTTAAGGATCAGAGCAGATTCACCGACACATCAACTACGAAAACAATGAATTGCACAAGAGCCAACCGAATTCAAAGAAGAGCTCAGAAAGGAACTTTTTTTAATTGGATTATTTGGAAAGAACGGATTGAGAAACGAGAAGGATAACTTTCTTAATTTAGTCGACAAGAGAAAATATAGAATCAGCGAAAACACGTGCACTATAACAACGTAAAAATTCCATATAATTAAGAAAAATATTTCAATTATCAATTCTCGAACACTGATCAGTTAAGACTGTTTGAACATTAAGCTATACCGAAACTGCAGGAGACATCTTCCATGTCTATGGAATTATCCGGAATCTTCTCGTTAAAACACATGGCACTGTCCATCGAGACATGCCCATTTTGAGGTTCTACAAGCAGACAATCAACATCAATTGTCCCGTCTTCAAATCCAATTGTCGGAGATCCATTCTCCATGACCTGGTAAAATATTATTGATAATAGGACAAGTATTCTATTTAAGCGTTTACGAGTAGGACAAAGAAATTACAATTAAGATAATTCGACAAACGTGAATATGCAACATAAATACGGCAACGTGGGAGAAAGAAAAACTAAAAATCGTAACTATAACTCACTAAATGATGCAACTAAATTCGATTGACGAATCATTTGAACGACACAGGTATCAGATTCAAATTCGCATCTTTAGCTCCATCAGAAGGCACTAACAATTCCTATTGATTTCTAACCTTTACGTCACGTTTCACATAAATTCATCGACACTACACACACACTCAACACATGAATTCATCGACACTACACACACACTCAACTTAAAACTAATTAATACAGAAACACTTTGTGCTAACTAAAAAATCAACGGTAAAAAGGTCGATCACCACACTGAACCAAATCTGCACAACGACACATATTCCAATCACTCCTCAGTCTACATTGAAGATTTTTTTTCTTCTCGTTGTTGCCTTATTACATCGAACCGTTCATCCCAAATTCATGAATATTCTAACACGGCCAATATTCAGAGATTAGGGATTTTAATTTCACAATCGTTACCCCCAATTTAGGTCTTCAATGCATTGGCGTATTACCCTGTGCTCATGCATTATTGCTGATTTTAATTCAATTTTTTTCTCACAAGTGTCTCATAAATAATCTACTTCAAAACATAAGAACAAATATCACACAGTGGCTCACCATTTCTCATCCCACAAATTTAACCTCCCCCACAAAAAAAATAAAATAAATAAACCGTAGCGAAAAACAAAAATCTATTTAGCAAACCGAAAATTAGAGCAATGCCCCAAAAAAAACATTAAAAAAATGTAGAAATTGATGAATTAGAAAACGCAAGCGCATGATAGCTGACCTTGATGCTTCACCGGCCCGAGTTGTCTTTTCACTCTGTGACTGTGTGCGTCTGTGTGAGAGAGAGTGAGAAAAAAAGAAGGTTCGTGGGAGAATGAGAAAGAAGGTACGAACAGTGACGCAATTTATTCGACGGAATCGAAACAGATTATTATTACAAAAGTTGAAATGGGAATATGTGTGGTTTGGCGTCCGCGCGCAGTTATTGTGTGCGATGTAATAATGACACCTGGTTCGGGGGTCCTGTCTTAATCTTACTTAATTAACTATGTTGTCTTAATTAGATTTCCAACAAATCTATTCATTAAAACTTTTTAGAATATTTAATTAATTACCCAATCTAATTCAAACCATAGACTTTTTTTTTTTTTAAACTTAATGTAGTTTAAATTAGCTTGATAAAAAGAAAAATCAATATTTAAGCAAGTAATTAATCCATGAAAACTAGCATAATATAAAATAGTTTGGGTGTTTTTCGTAATTATTAACAAACTGTAGGGCTAAAAACAAATGCAAGTGATATTAGTACACACTCAATAGTAACAATATCAAATTATGTGGTCTTGTAATGAAAATAAGTAAACAAAGAATGGCAACAAAACCAAAGCTCCCAAAACTGGGTGATCCCATATGATACAACAACTATATATACTGCTACAAATCTCTGCTGCTATTCCTCTTTCTATTTTTTTTTTCTTTTTTTTTGGTGGGGGTGGGGGGCGGGGGGCGGGGGTACAAGCAGAGCACATAGACAAGAAGTAAAGAAGAAAGAAAACAAGGAAACTATACTTATTTCTTTCCATTAAGCAAACAAAAGAAAGCTAGAAACCTAAAACATATACCACTGACTATAAGTCTAAGTAGACAATAATTCCAACGGTGCACATCGTACCCGAAGTCGTTTAACGCTGCACATCGAGTTATCAACCATACTCCGGAATATCTGATTATATATACATACACATTTTCAACAAATATCATAACCAATTGAATGAATGATAAATATATTATATATATGTGTATATATATAAAGTAAATACTTTGAATTGTACTGACCTTTGAGCATTTGCTATCAAGAAAGCTTCCAAAGCCCACCTCGGATAACAGTAATTACTAAAGAGCTTTCCAAACTTGTCGTCTTTACCTTGATTTGCAATGAGAGTAAGAACAACGGGAAGAAGCACGCACCACTGTATTGGAGATGGGGAGGGGAAGAAAACGGCATCATCGGCATTTAGCACAAAAAATATAGAGAAAAAAAAATGTGATGTATTTATGTTGTATACCAGTTGGGCTTGACTAGGCTGAAAAAAGATAGCAAACACGTAGGCGATCCCGGTCACACAGTACACGAGGCAGAGCAGAACGGCGTAGTTTTCCAGGAAAGTTGATCTTGGGTTGCTGAAAGAATAGAACATGGAAAGGAAAACCAAAGGCTTGATGAGTGTATTGAAATGGTCAACCGAATCCTTGGATAGGAAATAGGCTAGACTGCTCGTGCCGCCTTCACTCTCTCTCCGGTAGTGTAACTTGTCCAGTGAGAACGATCTTAAAGCCGATATCTTACACAGAAGTGCTGCAAAAAACAGAAAATGGGATAATAAGGAACAACGAGAGCACGCATGATTGCTCGAACGTGGAACTCCTTCTCATGAAGTAAAACGAAACCAGAGAGTCGAACCAGTCTATAATTAAAGAAATTAAGTGAAAAGAGGGGATATATATATATATATATATATGTTGGTGGAAATTTTACTTACAGACAGCAATCACGGTGTACATATAACCAAAATAGCCAAATGTGTCACCCTTCACTTTCGAAAGAGTTCCTAAGCATGCTCCAGCAAGAAGAAGGATCAGATAATCTGCTGCTTGTAACTGAGCTTCTCGCAGCCGTTGCTTAACATTTCTGTAAAAAAAAAAAAATAGCACGATTAACTATGATTGATAATTTTATCACTGGCCTGGACACATAAGAATTCGCATATGATAATTACCTTCCGAGGAAGTATCTGTATTGCCGAATCCAACCAGGCGTATATCGGTTAGACAAGTCGTGGCCAGCAAAAAAATTTAGCTGCGAATGCTCTTGACTTTCCTTGAACGTGCTTCCAGCAGAAGATGATTCCGAAGCAATTGGAGCAGTAGTAGTAGCACTAGTGCTTACACCTTTAGAAGCAGAAGCAATTTCGTCGCAGAAATGCAGCATATCTGGAGGCACAGGGTAGCCATTGTGAAGCATCCATCTCACAGGTAGCTGTTCAACGGTCAAACCCGCACTCGGTTTCACTATACCCTCGAGTATATCGATGAAGTGGTCTGGGGGGTTGACTCGATCCGGTACGTTGACTCCAAAGCTGGCAAAGTATTCCTCCACTTTCTTCACTGGTCCGTGGTACACAGTAAGACCACCTTTCGCTAAAAGAATCAAGTCGTCGAACATCTTGTACAAGGCATAGCTGAAACCAGGGAAATATTGGAATTACGAAACCTAGTCTAAATTTTTTCGTATTAATCGTGACGTAGAAATACTTGCCTGGGCTGGTGAACAACCATGCAGATGTTGACTCCCTCGAGCGCTTCACGCCTGAGAGCTCTAATGAGTAAGTTTGAAGATGAACTGTCGAGACCAGATGTGGGCTCGTCCAAGATTAGGAGTGAAGGTTCCATGACCATTTCCAGGCCTACGTTTACTCGTTTTCTCTGACCTCCAGATATACCTCGTTTCTCTACTGTGCCAACGAGAGAATCTCTCACTGCCTGTAGTCCGAGGGACTCGATTACTCTTTCAACAACAAGAACCTTGTCTGCCTTTGGCATGTCCGAAGAAAGCCTTCAAAAATGTTGAAGCCCGGATGAGTAGAAAGTTGTCGAATCAAGAGAAATAAAATAAATTAAAAGAGAGGAAAATAAATTAGGAGTATGATGAAGGCTGAAGAAACTAAACAAGATCCACACCGCGTAATATTAGCACTAAAAGAATAAAGTAACCTTTTGTCTCCACTCACTAAACAAGGACAGGACAGTCTTTGAGAACTTAATTTGTGATCCAAAACGTCAAAAAAGGTTTATTATTGCAACACTCAGAAGATAAAAGATATAAGCAAATCGAAAGCACTGATTAAATACATTAAGATATCAGTTAGAAACTGCATAAAATCTTTTGGTCATCAAGTCTTTGGCACTAGGAATGATAATATTTGCTCCACATGCCGACCCAAAAAAAAAAAAAAAACATGTAATATACCTGCACCGAGCACTGAATCGAAGGTTCTCTTCAACTGTCAAGTTTCCATGAACAATATCATCTTGTGGCACAAAACCTATGATTTTCTTATAACTGTGAATAGAGTCAGGCCTTCCATTTATAAGAATCGAACCAGTTATGACGCACCCCCTAATCTTTCCTGCCACAGCAGAAAGAAACGTCGTTTTTCCTGCACCCGATGGACCCATAACAGCAGATATTCGACCAGGCAAAATTTTCCCAGTCACACGCCTCATCAAATGCTTGTTTTTGTTTCTCAGAGTTATAGTAAGATCTTTGAAAGCAACCTCAAGAGTAGGCCTAGTCTTCACATCTGTATCAGTGGCCATTGAAATAATCCCCGAGAAGGTCAAATTCTGCTGTTTCTGCTCCATAGCTTTCTCCTTTTCAAGTTGACCGTACGCGTACTTAAATATTTGGCTCTTAGTGTGCAACTGTTTTGCAGTGGGCATTTGTTTCTTGATGTTTTTATCTCCAATGGTCATATGAAAACCCCTTTGACTGTCTGGATTGTCATCGAATGATTGAAGCATCTTAGTTAGGTCGCCTGCTTCCTTCTTTGGTTTGGGAGCACCAGAAGGCGGAATTGGCGGTTCGCCAGATTTACGCGAGAAAGTGCGCGACAGCTGTTTTTGCAAGCCCACGGCTCGTTTTTTTGCGGCATCTTTTGCCAATCTCCACCTTTGTCTTGCCTGTGCAGTTTCGCGGGCGCTTTTTGCTGCTCTCTCTCTTGACTTGGCTAATCTTTCGTAGCGAGTTGTGAGGACTTGATCGGAGCAATTGTAGAACACTATCAACACTAAGCTCAAAGCTCCCTGCATAAACGAGTGGTCATCACAATTATACACCATTTGTTAAGGTGTAATGTTAATGCCAAACAGACTTCCACTTACGATTAGCATGAATCCATATGCATGCAAGTTCTGCGTATCAGAATTTGGATTACATGTACTCAACTTGAAGCAAGCTGCATAAATTCAGTTTAATATTAGAATGATGGGTTAAAGAAACATGCATTGCCAAGGAGCAAAAATTCAGGAAATGGTATTTCCTAGTTACATGCTGAGGAGGATTGTCGAGAAGAAAACTCTAAATACCATCTGTCTTATTTAAACTCGATCTACACTAATTTGATACGCCTAAACAAATCACCGTCTAAAAACATAATTTTCAAATTAACATAATGTTGATAGTAACCCTCGCTCTCTCTCCTTCTCTGAATCTTGGCAATAGGAAAAAGATATTTTCGAAGAGAAAACATAATGTTGAGAATTTGAAATTAACAAGAGTTTAATAGGATACCTCTTTGTTCGGTAGAGCCCTGCCTGCAATAATGTCTGGATTTTGTGAAAACAAATGAAGTTAGTAAATGGAGATGCAAAATTCAAAGTATAAAGAACAATTGCCTGTATATCTCTCATAAGCCTCGTGATAGTATTGCATACCCTTGTTTACATTGGATCTTTTGGGTGGTACTTGGACAGTAAGATCCCGATGAACAAAATATTTCGTCGTCACTAGTCACGCCTGCCCATATATCCGCTCCACCACAAGTGTGATTTGATTTACCAGGAGGTAACTGATACGAGTATCTGTAGTTATTTTTATTAAACCAAAAATATTATAAACCGGTCATACGAATAATAAAAAGCTGTATAATATAGACAAAAAAGTCTGGGCTGCAAATTAAACTTACGGTTCACAAACGCCAGTTGCTTTGTTTATCGTTGCAAGCGGGCAATATGAGCCTAAAGGACAAGCTTCAATAACGAGGTAACAAAAGAGAAATATGATTTAGTTGCAAGACTTCATCGATTGAGCACCTTTAAATGTAACATTAGAATATCACTAAAAAAAAAAAAAAAAAACGTGTACTATTCTTCAGATACACTTACGAATCATGCAGGTGAGGCCTCTGGGGCAGAAAAAACCTGCGCAACAAGGTTGACCGTCACGAGTCCTATCCGGAATATCCTTGGAGTTTTTCAGGTCCACCTGTGCGTTTTCAGGAATCGTACAAGCCCAGCCTGGCTCACATCCTGGGACCCACGAGGTTAAATTACAGTTTATGTTGGGTTTTAAAAATTGAGCATCGGCTGACTTTGTGCCCATAAAACTAGAAAAATAGAACTTCATTTCTGCTGCTGTACATATCCTCTTCGTTACATCTGTTAAATTCACAAAGGGCAATGCCAAAAGAAAAAAATCACCATGTATATACAAACAAGTCTTAAACTAATAAATTAACTGATACAGAGCCATCATCTTTTTGGTAGTTTCGCTCGATTATTACGCTAAGAAGGGATAAAATAACTATCACGAATTAACGGATAAAATGGTCCAAATAACATGACCAACGTATACGAAAAGTGGTAGAGATACTAAGTTACTTAGTACACCTCAAATCTCAAGTTTATATACATCATATGATACAATCACACACCAAAAACTGCATACCACCCCTCGTACATTTTACAGAAATAAACGGGATTATTACCTTTCGTCTCTTTAACACAATTACTCAGAAAATCCAAATTGTTGCCGAATTTGAATGCCCCATTCAAATCAGCATCTCTGTGAAAGCCCAACCAAAACAAAAAATTGGTTAAGAAACACAACAGTGTTGCAGAAAAATAAAAAAAATCAATAATCAAATTAGGGAAGCTCGTCAGACTCACACATCGTTAGTGCAATATCCCAAACTCACAGTAATATCCTTGTTGAATATCTTCGTGAGATTCAAAATCTGGTTATAGATTAAGGATGTAACAAGCGGCAGCACCTTAGGGTTACCGCCGGACTTGGTGTACTCATCCTCCTCCACGCACCACACTCGCCGTGAAGAAGAAGCGGCGACAATTACCCAAATCAACAGCACCGACGAAGCAATTCGAGAGGAATCTAACCTAATTCCACTCATTTCAACCATCTAAATCTGCAGAGAACTCGTACATAATAAGGAGAATCATCCAAAATTCACAGAAAGCTCCCACATTACGAATTTCTTCTTTTTAATTTTCCCCCAAAAAAAGCTCTAAGCTAGGTCAATTTTTTTCTCAAACGAGTCAAAATTTGGAGCAACCATTCTGAAAATTGGTGGATGAAAATACAAAAAGACGAAAAAATTGGGAGAAGTGTCATGTGAGAATGGTGTACAGGGTTGGGGAAGGAGCTCCATGGTGTTAGGAGGAAGAATTGGCGGGGAGAGATCGATGGCGAAATTCTTGCGCTCGAAAAATTGAGGTGTTTTAAATACCCTCCTTTTATAGTGCTCTCTATACAAACTACAAAGGTGATGGATTCAAATTTATAATCACAATTACCAAGTCCTTTTTTTGTAATTTGGCAATTAGGACTTAGGAGACTCCAAATTAAGTTAGGGGTGAAAATTGGAACGTAATTTTCAATTTTTGCCGATTCTTACTCGATAATTCTAGTTTTTGGAACGTTATTTTTCATTATGAATTTCGAAAATTTCAGTTTTCATTTTTTTTTCAAATATTTTTTTGATTTAAATTGGACTTTTTACGAGATTCTGATTTTCTTTGATCCACTTTTAATTTCTAAAGACAATTCAAAAACATCAATATTTGTTAAAAAAATACTCTTGTAATAATAGTATTGATGTAGCTTAAATGCCTCAATCACGAATAGAAGAAGCGAAATGGGCTCGAAGTGAGAAAAATATATAACAAGAAGTCCGTGTCCTGAGAGACTTGCAAAAACGAGTGTGCATATGGTTTTTCAACGTTAGCACTTTAACTGTCAAGTTAGTCAGAATTTAAGTGTATTTAGAAAAATATAATAAAAATGTGTGTATTAGAAATATCAAAGAGAGTCGTCGTTTCTTTGTGTTTCAAGACTGTATTTATACCCGTCGTAGAGGTGGATCCTCCGTTATGTATTATAATAGAATCAATAATTGAAGATTGTTGCAGCAACAATGGTTTTGTTGCAGCAACAATGGTTGTCTAATTGACAAGAGTAAGAGTAAACTCAAGTGGTTATATCATATAAATGTAAAGACTAATTATAAAAAGAGAGAATTGCAGGAAAAAAAAAACAGTGAATTTAATAAGATATGAACATGGATAATCTAATTAAATAATTAAATAACTCAAAGATCATTCAAATATTCTGCCTTTGACCAAAGCGATGACCAGATCTCTCTGGCATAAGCTTAACATGACTTTTTCCTCTCCTAAATTGTACACTTTCTCTCTCTAATTGTCCACTTAACTCAAATGGCCGCCTTCACAGTGTTCACACCAAGCTTCCATTTTTCTGCTGTCTTTATCCCCACAAAACCTGTAATAGAAACACACATGTAAAAAATTATATATATATTTTTTCTTGCAACTGTATATAGCACATATGTGCATAGTTTCTTGAAATCTATTGTGGGCTATTTTTATTTTATTTAAATTATTTTTTTCTTTTGGAGTAAGTAAGAAGACTTTAATGAGTGCTGTTTTGCCGTGTGAAGACTTCTCCTTTTAAAATCAATTGAAATTTTTCCTCCGGCATTTGAAGTCTTTCTTCAACTGATTCAAGATTGGATTTTTATGGGCAATTCTCATAATCAAGAACGATTTCCGGTTCAGGAACCCTGGTTAGGAAAAGGTAAAAACCCTTGTCCGAAGATTTGTTATTGTGTTGTTTACTTGTTAAACAGTTTGACAATTTGATACGATTCTTTGAGTGTTTATGTGACCAATCTATTGAAAATTCAAAAAAAAGATTGGATTTTTTTTCCTTCTTGCCTATCGTGGAAACCTGAAAAAGAACCAAACTTTAAGGATCTTTTACTTTAATTAGCTATTAATTGATGTGGGTTTTTTTTTTCTGAAAGTGTAGGAATTACTTGGGTATACAATTGCCTTTGTTAATTTGATATTTGTTTGATTATATTATAGAAAAATGAAAAAGCTAGAAATAAGGGTGTGGATTTTGAGTTCTAAAGGCTTGGATCAGACAGTTGTTTTGTTTGTAGGAATTATTGAACTGAACTCTAGCAAGAATCTTGATGGACAGATCATATTTTGTTTTTTACGGAAATGCTGCAGAATTTCTTGTTAATTAGATAGATATCCGAGTGATGATTTCATCGAGCATGAGCTTTTCGATTGGGATTTACAAGAGTTGCTTCTCTTTTCGTAATTTATGTAATTCCTTTATCTTAGTTATTGAATTCTTTAAAGTATCCATCTCGTTGCTGCGTTTTTTTTTAGTTTACTTATACTGCTGCATTTGCAGTGGGTGTTACTTTGAACCATATAAAGGCAATGAACTGTTTCCAATTCCACAACGGAGATAAAAATGAAGAACCGAAAACCCCAGTCCAAATTTCGCCCCAAACATCGTTTACCGATCGTGAAGTAAGGCAATCTGGATCTGAATTTAACTCTCAGAATGTATCGGACACAAGCACCGAGTCAAGAGGCAGAGGCCAATTTCCGAGCTTGTCTGAAAGGCCCAGTAATCTCAAAGTTTTCACCTTTTCAGATCTGAAACAAGCCACGAAAAATTTCAGCCGCACTGCTAAACTCGGTGAAGGAGGATTTGGATGTGTTTATAAGGGCATTATCAAGAACTCGGAAGATCCGCCCAAGAAAATCGACGTGGCTGTTAAACAACTCGGTAAAAGAGGACTTCAGGTAGATTCTTGGTCTTAAAATTGAAGGGATAATTTACTTAAAAGGGATAATTTTTTTCTTGACGTTAATAATGTGTTTTAATGTTATACGACAGGGTCATAAAGAATGGGTGACGGAAGTTAATGTACTCGGTGTTGTGAAACATCCGAATCTCGTTAATCTCGTCGGGTATTGTGCTGAGGATGACGAAAGAGGAATCCAACGGCTTTTAATATACGAATACATGCCGAACGGAAGTGTGGAAGATCATTTATCGATTAAGTCAACCACACCCCTTTCGTGGGCTATGAGGCTGAGGATTGCCCTAGATGCTGCGCGTGGATTAGCGTACCTGCATGAGGAAATGGATTTTCAGGTTGGTTTGCTATTGTAAATCTCGACTAAATATTGCCGTAATGTAATTGTATTTAATATCTTAATGTAAGTAATAAGACTAATGTTGATAATCTGCTATATATAGATCATATTCAGAGATTTCAAGTCTTCAAATATTCTTCTAGACGAGGAGTGGAATGCTAAACTGTCGGACTTTGGATTGGCTCGATTGGGACCTCCGGAAGGGCTAACACATGTGTCAACTGCGGTATGTTCAACGACATATATTTGTTGTACCCGTTATTACATATGCATGTGTGATTTGAGATGTAGTTATGTATCTATAAGTTCGATACCATCTAATTATCATAATACCATAAGAAGTTATGGATGAAAAAGTCTTTACTCGACTTAGAGAAAATTTAATATTTTGGGTTAATTGCATTCAGCACCCTTATAATTTGTCTACTTGTTAAAAAAACTCCTCGTGTTATAATAAATATTAGCAAAATCCCCCCATATGATTCAATTTTATTAGCAAACTACCCTCTAAAGACACTGCATTTAAGGGGTTGTGTGCTAAGAAAAATGCATCATAAGGTTTTTTTTAATATCTCTAACACGAGGAGTTTCTTAGCAATTCGATATAACAAGGTTGCAGAATGCAATAAACTGTTAATATCTTCTATAACTAAGTTTTACAACAATAAGATTGAAATAAAATTTGCTTCATAGTGTCGGAAACGATTTTATTGTCGGATATTCCCGACTTTAAAACTCGTGTATTTTCTGTGATATTTATTTTTTTGATCGGTTGTGGAGCCGTAATTTTATTTCCGTGATGGCCAAATAGACGAACATAACCATGTAAAACAATAGGCTTTTGAGATTTGGTGGGGGCCATGGCCCCGATATCCCTATGTTAGCTCCGCCACTAGTTTGCGTGCTCCAATGTCTTCCCCTCTCGTAACTTTCTTGATTTTTTTTTTCAATTTCTCAAATTGGCTAATAAATACATTTCCTAAGGTCGTTGGAACGATGGGGTACGCGGCCCCCGAGTACATCCAAACGGGCCGCCTCACATCAAAGAGCGACGTTTGGAGCTACGGCGTCTTCCTATACGAGCTCATCACGGGGCGGCGCCCACTGGATCGGAACCGGCCGAGGAGCGAGCAGAAGCTTCTAGAATGGGTCAAACCCTATCTATCCGATGGTAAAAAATTCCAGCAGATATTGGACCCACGCCTCGAGGGCAAGCAAATCTTGAAATCGGCCCACAAGCTCTCCCTCGTGGCCAACCGCTGCTTGGCCAGGTTATCCAAGACACGCCCCAAGATGAGTGAAGTCGTTGAAATGGTCAACCAAGTCGTGGAGGCATCTATAGGGAATATTCCTCAAGCACAACCACCATCGACGAACGCAGAAGAGGACAAGAGTAAAAGGAGGATCTTTGACAGCGGGTGGTCACTTCGCGGCTGGTCTTCGAAGGTAGTCAAGACTTGCTGATCAGGTCATATTATACCCCCCTCGATATTTTCAGGGGTATAATCGGAATGTTCGAAAAAATTCGATCAAGGCATTAATCGCTTCGATTTTCGCTAGGCCAAATAGATTAACGAGTTTGAGATTGGTATGTGTTCAAGACTTGTATGTATGTATGTATGTATATTTTCTTTCTGTAAGAAGAAGAAAAAAGAGTGATCTTTCTTGCTGTATCTTATACAACATTACACTGTGATAGGAAATAAAAATGGAGCCTTTTAATCAACACACATCCATGCGGGTGAGTGTGTGTGTGTGGAATGGTGCACTATCAAGAAAAGAGTGATTATCTTCTGTAAGAAAATAATCTCTTGCAAGTAGACAACTTGTTTATGTGTATGTTTCAATTTCAGGTTATGTATGATATGATGCCTTTTCACATAAGTCATTTTCTTGTTGACTTTTTAGATAGATAGACATTATCTCAAGCAATTTGGAAGAAAATTGCACCAATAATTTACGTGCTGTGTTTGTGTATTTTGACTTTTAACGTTATCTTGATAGACAATAAATAGGTTTGAAATTATAATGGATAATCATTATTAATTGATATTTGGAGAAATTTAATTATTTATTACTTAATTTTTTTGTCCTAAAAAAATATGAGTGTATGCACAACGTCAACCAACCAATAAAATACCTAAATAGAGCACTCAAATTTTGTAAGAACAAAAGCTAGTGCGTCACACAGAAAAATCCAACCCACAATATGAGAAGGTTAAGATTGATTTACTATTTATGATGAATGTGTATTTAATTAAATTACATGTAGTGGACCTAAACACAAAATAAGGTCACATCCGAAAAAATATTTATAATTGTGAATTATTTATGTGTGTACAGTGGCGCAGCCAGTATTAGATTAGGAGGCTATCACCCCTAACATTTCTAGAATTTCTATTATTTTATATAGAAATATAAAAAGATCGTGTATAGTAATGCATCCCCATTCGCCTATAAATGTTTTAATGCATTCGACCTCAGATTTAAATCCTGGTTCCACTAATTGGTGCATGGTATAATTCTTGATTAACTTTTGTAATTTGAATGTGTGTGCGTTTTTTTGTTTTACAAAAGAGAAAGATTCCCCAATCAAACCATGTATGCACATTGATAACTTTCCATTTTCTTGTGCAATAACTTTTTTTTTTTATTTTTTTTTTATTTTTTTTTATATAATTTGTGTAGATTAACATGTTAAAAGGTTAAATTCAATTAAAAATTGATTAAATAAGCGTGTGATTTGCTTTGTGTGCAGATCCGCCGCCGCGTACCGATCTAGAAACTTTTTGCTGAATTCCATGTGAAGTCGTGATTGCGAATCAAACCAAAAATAGAAAAACTGTAATAATTAAAAAAAAATATTCTTCTTTGTTAGGGAAATAATTAAATATCTAAATTAAAATAATCTGTCCAAATTGTCGATGCAGCATCTACACACACATGCAGCAAAGGTCATGCCCCCCACGTGACGTGGCGTGATGTTGTGTGTTTTCATTTTATAAAATCAATGGTAGTTCATACTCCAATCTTGAGATATAGGTAAAAAAAATCAAACTGCTCGAGCTCGATTAAAAAAATATATATATATAAAAAAATTCTATTCAAGCTCAATTTCATGGTCAGTTGATTAAGACCGGTCCGAGTTCGACCCAGATTCGTTAAATTCAAACATAACTTTTAGATCTGTATAAAAAATCAAATAAATTCAAACAATCATGCGTTTCGATCTGATTCATTCATTACACAACCTACACACGAGGTTAAATATTAAATTTGCCAAATATAAATTCCAATATTTGCATACCTAAATTGAATTATTATTTTTTTTTAATCATAAAATTACCTAAATTGAATTCAAGGACATAATAACATATGAAGAAAAGGCCGGTTAAACCAACGGCAACTTTCGATCCACACAAAGGGACACCCATAAAGCTTTCCCAAAAGCTTCCGTACGTCACTTTCTCTAAATTGTTCGATTCTTAACAATCCAATTAATTGTCTTTGCCCAAACGGTATATAAACCCACTTCAAATCCTCTTCTCATGATTCGTTATTGTTATCTTCTCTCTCTCTAAATATACACTCAATCACAGCTGCAAATCCGCCGTGTATATACACACACACTTATTTCACCATGTTTAACATACATTTCGGTTTCGATTTTGTTTCTGCCGATTTACTGCAATTGATTTGAAGGTGAGCTTCAACTTCTTTTTTTTTTTTCTGACGTTGAGTGGGCATTCTGTTTAGTTTCTATTGGGTTTCCGATTTGGGAATTGCTTTGTTTAGAAGTTTCGGATATATGATGATATTCGTATTTAATTCCGTGTATGAAATTCGGATTAAAATTCACAAAGTATGGAAGTAATTTTGGTTTGTTTGTCTGGTTCAAGGATCACTGTTTTTTAATTTTTAATTTTATTTTATACTAATCGGGTAGTTTACTATTTAGGTTTGAAGTTTTCAGAATTTTTTATCATGGATATACGAAAATCATATGAAAGACTTAACGTGGAGGCCATGAAAAGATTTACACAGTCCTTTCAATTGTTTATATTCTTCTGGTTTTTCTATTGGGCAATAAAGTAATCAATTTATTTTGAGAGTGGCATTTGATTGAGTTATATAATTGAGTCAATGATTTGTTTCAGAGAAATTGCTGCTTTAGGAATAAGAGTTTAAGATTAACTGTAGCTGTAATGTTTAGGATCTGATCAATCAACCAATCTTCTCCATACACATGTCGTTGTTTCTAACTAGATGAATCTGTAGTTTCCTCGTCCCAACGAATAATTTTTGGGATTTTTGACAGCTAAATTAGACTACAAATGAAGTCTTTTGAAGCAGATGATCGAACAATATTTTGAGTTGCTTTTTTCTCTCGCTTATGATATTCACAGGTGTTCTACTTATGCAGGTCGGTATTTGCTTATTCCTATTACGCGAATAATAACTTATCTCTTTCCCTTTTAGCGGCGAAATTTGGCACTAGCTAACGAACTAGTTATTACTTCGGTTTTGGTCGGATTGTAACGCCTTAGAAGAAATAATAATGCACGAGCCAGATGCAGATGCTGCTCCGTGGAGTTTTTTCAACATCGACAATATTTTCAGTAACAATTATTATGGAGACAGCACGCAACATGATGTGAAAATTTGCCACGAGCAGTACATTAGGGAAAATCCTTATGTCAACGTCGACAACGATGAGATCATTGCACGTGCTATTCTCGAAGAAGAATTGTCACAATTATCAATATCTGAACCTCCCGAAGAGGATTACTTGCAAAGTTCCGCTATTATCCCGGATTGGCATAATTCTTCAAATAACAATTTTATCGGTATGTTCTTCCTTATTTTGATTATTGTATATTCTATCTCTGGCTATAACATGCTGTAATAAAATCCTTAAAAACCTAAACTAAATATTGCAGGCCAAGAAGGTGGGCATTACGAGAACGATGAGGTGGGAAGTTTATGCTCCAGTTCTGGAGATAGATCGTGTGATGGAGATGATTACTCTTATACTTTGGACATAACAGATGAGTCTGAACTTGATGGAGAAGTTGAAAAGAGGTTATACCAATTGGTTTCTGTTCCTGTAAGCATCGATTTCATATATCATTAAGCTGTATATCATTTACTAAATAAGATTATAAAGCCCAGAAGCATCTTGTTCCTATATTATCAAGTTTTTTGTGGCTTCTCATTTTGTTTATATACCGATTTAGTTTTTCTGCTCGCACTAAATATAATTTGCAAATGCATCTAAGTTTGTACATACAAAGAATCTTCAAGGCTCTTTTAAGCAGTTCATTTTATGGATTATTAGACATCCTGAATCTGTTTGGAGCCACTGCTGAATCATATATACAACTGTAGAGAATTGAGTGCAAATCAAACTCTGATATAGTGTGTATTATCAAAACCTTGTAGTTTGTGTGATCGAGCATTATTTCAATTTCCTTATTTTGTGTTTTATTGGTATTGCGCAGCACATGCCGAGAATTAATGGAGACATACCTTCAGTTGATGAAGCGACTTCTGACCATCAAAGGCTGCTAGATAGGTACTTTTGGACTTCTCTTGTTGTTGGCATAGTAATAGTAATATCAATTCAATTATTTTCCGAAGTCCCTTCCACAAATTTATTATATTTTTTATTTTTTATTTTTAATTTGTGTGTTCCCTCAAACACTCGTATAGCATAGCTGGATTACATACGAAAATTTTCCATAAACAATTATTGTATAACTCAGGACCTTTCATTTGGCATTTGGGATATCAATAAGCCCCTTATGGTTTTGGTTGAGATGGTCATTCAACATGCTTAACTTTGCAGGCATCATTACTAGTTGGACCAATCACGTGTTAGACCTTAAATAATGTATAAAATATTATATTCATGTGGAACACATTTGTAAAGAGTTGCATGGTGCTCTGGTTTCAGGTTACAGTTATATGACTTGATTGAGCACAAAGTTCAAGGAGATGGAAACTGTCAGGTTAATTTTCTCTGCCCTTTGCGATTTCTTTTTTTGTTAATTTTATATTCTAGTCATCTTTTTTGTTTCCTTCAATAGCAGATCACATGGAAATAAACATTTACGTCTTGTTATATTTAAAAGGAGACCATGGTGAAAACCAAGAATAAATTTCATCTCCATTATATGTCTTCCTTGCTAAAATAGAAACGAGCAGGTGTCGCCCAAGGCAACTGCTTGACATTTTTGCCCCAAAACGAAATTCAAAATCAAAACCTATGCCATTAAGTATTTTTCGTGAAGCTGTTATGTTAAATTTCTACAATTTAAAGCAGTTCCTCATATTCATTACCAATTTCCTGCAGTTTCGTGCTTTATCTGATCAGTTTTACCGGGCCCCTGAGCACCACAAATTTGTGAGACAGCAAGTTGTACGTCAGGTTGTTGTCGTTGTACATATATATATTCTTCTTTTCTTTGCTTTCTGAAATGGTGGCATTCTCGTTATTCCCTTTTAAAGTTAGTGTAAATCTGATAATACGGTTTGGTATTGTCAGCTCAAAGCACAACCTGAAATGTACGAGGGGTATGTTCCCATGGAATATGCAGACTATCTGAAAAGGATGTCCAAGTATAGTTTCTTTGTCTTGATTTGTATATCTTGTACTTCCATGATTGTCCATTTTTCCTTTTCAAAATTCCGATGATGCTTACATATTTAGTGACCAGGGGCGGGGAGTGGGGTGATCATGTCACACTGCAAGCTGCTGCAGATTCGGTATTAATTGCCTTACCTAAATTACATCTGGCCCTTTTTTTTTTCTGCCTTTTCGTATGCTGAGAAATGCACTTGCTGTTAAAACTTAGTTATGGCCCCTTTTTTTTTTTGACAGTATGGTGTGAGAATTCTTGTAGTAACTTCATTTAAAGATACCTGCTACATCGAGATTCTTCCCAGAGATCAAAAGTCGAAAAGAGGTTAGCATTATCTGCATTATTGTATCAATTCAATTATACTCAATAGTCAGTAGGAAATGCTCTATCTGCTAAGCTTTTTCCATATGGTACTGAAGAATTATGGTAATTTTACCTATTACCAGACGAGTCTCACTTTTGATATACATCTTATTACTTAAGATGTGTGAGTTTCGACTCACCCAGAGAATGCTCACTTCAATATTTTGAAATTAATGATGCTGTCGTCTTGCACGTTAAATTCACGCACAAGTGACTTCATTTATTATAACAAACAGAAATGCTAGAAAAAACCATGCAGGATTTATCGTTTCTGCACATGGTAATATGTGTATTATCAGCTCACTGACAAAGTTATCGAATCTTGTGGTAAATTCTGTGTTTGTTGTGCAGTCATATATCTAAGTTTCTGGGCAGAGGTACATTACAACTCAATCTATCCTCATGGAGGTAAATTCTCATTTCTGTTTCTTTTTTGTGATTTACAAGAGTTTTGTCATAAATACATTCTGCTTAGTGCTTACACCGACAACATCCACCCGTACCGTAAGTTTTATCTAGCTCACAAGTGTTTAAACCAGAAAAGAACAAAAAAAAAAAAAAAAAAAAAAAAACAGAACTTGTCATCTGTGCTAATACGATGAAAATCGAATTTGTATTGATCAGATATCCCTCCGAGTGATTTTAAGAGGAAGAAAAAGTGGTGGAACATTCGAAACAAGCAGTAGAAAAACATATTTACTGCTGCCCCACACACCTTGGATTCAGCTGTATAGTCTGTCATATAGTGAACAAGTTTAAATTTTTTTTACCCCTCTGTTTCCTTATATTGAGTTACACGACTACATTATTTAATATTAATTCATACATCATTATATTTTGCAAGCAGTGTACAAATATATATATATATATTTATTTTTAATTTTTTTAATTAATGAGCATAATAGAGTTAAGTATGCAATGAGGAGATTGAATATTCTTAATTCTTTCTCATTAATCATTTAACTAAGTACATAATTCCCAATTATCGAAATGAGATTACAAGAAGAGGGGGGCCCACATTTTTTCTTTTTTCTCCCTGTTTTTAGATTAGAACATCTAAAAACCACAAACTGATTATTAGTACTAATGAACAATTAATTGCTAATTACTTATTATATAGCTTAGAATCTTAATCTATATCTAATGGTGATCCCCACCTACCCCGCGGTGCCTCTCCTCCTCCGCCTCTTCTTCCGCCGTCGCCGGCTGCAGCAGCAGCGTAGTAAATGGCATGTGGCGGTACCCATTGGGGAGGAACGCCAACTCCGTCGGCGGCGGCTGGAACAAGTCCAGCCTGCAACTCGGCGGAGGCGGGGGCACAAACGTCAGCACCCCGCTCCCCGACACAGACGACACCGTGTGCGCCGCCGCCATTGTGGCGGTGTCGGCGGAGCGGGAGGACACGACGGAGCCGGAGGAGGTCGACACGGCCTCCGCCGGGACGGTGCCGGTTCCGGTGGCGGCGATTATTGAGGGCTCGGCGTGGCGGAGGAGCCACTCTATGGTCTCGCCGTCGGAGCGGTGGCCCAGCTCCCTCGTCAGCTGGAAAACTCGGGCGGCGCAGAGGGCCGGCATCCGGACGCGGCGGCCGCGCCCGTTGACCTTCGTGTGGCGATCTCTGCTGGAGGAGGAGGCGGCGGGCCCTCCGACCGCCTTTCTGGAGACGGCGATCTTGGGCCTGGAATTGCGCGCGCCGGCGGATACGGCGACGGTGACGTCGGCGGAGGTGGGGGTGACGGGATGAGGGACGGCGGAAATCGGTGGGGGATGGAGGTGGTGGAAGTTAGGTGGGAGAGAAGAAGAGGTTTTGTGAAGAACCATATCTGAAGAAGACATTTTTTTACCTTTGACTGATGCTGCTGGGTGCTGGTTAGGGTTTTCTTTTCTTTTTATTACTTTTTTATTTATTTATTTTTTAATGAAGAGTGTCACACTGCAATGAAGAAAGACCCCACGAATTTGAACAAGTACTGGAGAGAAAAATAGTGGGCCCACACCCATCGATTAATGGGCCTATTAGGAAGTTAAGTGGGCCAGTCAAAATCTTTGTCTCTATACCCCTAATAGGTGGGTCCCACACCGGAGTATCATTTCATTGCTTTTTCACAATATAAATTTTTTTTTTATCCCAAAAAGGCAAAAAATATTAAAAGCCAGGTAATTTAATTATGGTTTCTGTGTCAGGTGTGTATTTACTATTTATAACTCATCCTAATATTGGGTTGAGCAAATACAGATAATTATGGTTCAATTTGTTAGTCTAATTATCTTCACATGGGTAATTATCCTAATTTAAAGTAATTTGTTTAAACAAAGAATGACACTTTAAAAATACTGTATGTTTAAGATTTATGTCGCCTTTTAGAATACTGTTTTGTATTTTAATCCGACTGGATTCGTGGTGGGCTGGTTTAAAGAGTTAAGTAGGCTTGAACTTGGACCGGAGACCACGATAAACCTACAAGAAAGAAAAGAACCGGACTTAGGCCGGAGTTAGCACACCGACGGCCAAGTCAATAACTTCCTGAAGAAGATATTATGTTTATATGCGTAATTTTGGTATATGATTATGTGTGTTTTCACCTGTATTTACTGCCCCTATTTATACTAAAGAAAAAGACGGACGTCAAATATTCTTCAATTTAATTTACCTGTCCCATTGCGGTAATTAGGCATTCGGACCTCAAATTACCTTCAATGCAGTTTAATCTGTCATTTCATTGGCGGCTGCGGGGGCAAAAAGTAGGGGGTCGAAAAGACATTCCTCTGCGCTTGTCAGTAGATTGGACGTGCATTAACTACCCGTGCAGCAATGATCACCTCCGGTTGGCGGCGAGAAGCTGGGCGAGAGAGCGGGTCGGCGAGAAGCCTCTCGCTCGTGGGTTACTCGCGACCTGTTGCTCGGTCCCTCTCGCCTAATGAGTGCCAGTTTAATGGGCCCTCTTCCGTTAATAGGCTTATTGGTGCTTTTTGACCTTGTTTGGGCCTTTGGTCTTTATTGGATCTATCAAGCGATCCTGGGCTGGATCATATTTGTTGGTTTGCTGGGCCCAAATGGTTATTAATATCCAGCAAATTTAACCATTTTCATCTCAAACGGCCTAACGAAGCCAAGCGATTAGTAGACTCGGATTCAGTTGAACCTTGGAAGTCCCGAGAGTCTTGATCATGACCATTCATTCCACCGAGTGATCCGAGGCATTTACTTCGAAGTATACACCTCCATTCTCTCACAACTCTAATTTCGATCTTTACTCTCTCTCTCTCATTTGTTCATACCACTACATTGAATGCCTCTTGGCATTTTCAGTCCATGAGTAAACTTCTTTTCTGCTCTCTGGTTTAGATACAACATACCTTTATTAAACGCCTTGAAGGAGAGATAGAGAAAAAAGAATAACACACACAATTTGAGTCTCCGATTGATTTCTGTAATTTATATTCTTCGTGAGCGCATGATAATCACTTCTTAGTAAGGGAAACACGAGAGAGTTTAAATCTATGCGTAGAGGGTTAGGTGAGAGACTTGGCCAGAAATCTAAGTGATTCCGGCAAGATCTAGGGTTTCGGTGGTTGAGCCTAGTGCTGGGTTGTTGGCCTCTTAGGTCGACCCAAATATATATTAGACTTTTCGATGTCTATTAATATAATTGATTTCTATTAGAGTATATTATATTATAATAACTCTTGTAATATTAGGATTCGATTACCTAGATTAGTTAGGATCTAGTTACCTAGTGAAACTCTATTACCTTGCATTAAATCAACCCATAATATAATGGGGGTTTCTATTACGTATTATTACTATTTATCTCTTTCTCCTATTCTATTCTTGGTCGAGAACCAAACGAGACCTAAAACTACAACATATTGGGATCAAAAAGCCCATTTTCTATATAGAAAAAAACCCTCTAATACGGCCCAAAACTAAATTGGTCTGATCAAAATCTAATTCCATATAAAAGCCCAATGGGCCTATATTCATAAAATTGATACGAGGACATAATCGTAATAATATAATATCTTTGGGGGCAACCTAGTCAATCTCACTTTAAAAAAATCAAGAAAACCTGCGAAACCTCATCCATTTGAATGGGTTTATGTCCGTTTATCTGCTCACCGAACCGGCAAATTGCAAAAAATCCCTTCTCATTCATTATGATATGTACTGAAGTAATATTGATTTCTTCTTCTTCTTTCTCGTTGAAGCTAATTTAAAAGTACAGTAATGGAAACAGTACGGAGCTTGGTTTCTTCTCCGCCGCAATTCCCTCTCAGAACCCATGTCAGAAATTGCTCCTCCTCTTGTTCTTCAGGTCTTTTATTTATTTATTTTATTACTTTATACTTTTATTTTTTATTGAATTAAATTATGTTATATGATGGGCGTTGGCGTAGTTTTGCGTTGTAGAAGTGAAGAAGGCAAATGGGATTGTTTTAATTTTTAGCCAATTTGCTTTAAATTGCACTAATGCTCTGTTTCTTGTCAGTTGCAACAATTTTTACTGCACAATTAAAGTGACCGTCGTAAAGTTTACGGAGTGTTATATACCGTTCGATTCGAGTGTTAGAAAGATCATATGGGACTTTAGGATGTGCTCGAATTCCGCATTTTGTGAAAAAATAATGTAGTTACATATGCTTACTTTACAAACTTATCTGCAGTTTGATGATTCTTGAAAAATCAGAATTTTTTATTGATGGAAGATTTACGAGGTTTGATGACTGAGTATTGAATGCCAAAATGGTAACCCGTTAATAATCACGGGCCAAATTGATTAGTTCTTCGTAGATTAGATGAATTGGATCATGTATAACAAATACAATTGTCTTCATGTAGTTAGTTCATAAAATTTGGACCTATTTTCTTGTCTTGTCTCGTTTTATTATCTATTAATGAATGATTGTACTTTTTTATTTTGCAGTTTTGTTGCTTCATGAGCAAGTAACTCCAGCTCTTACATCCTTGTCGACCCCTTCTTTAGCTCGACATACTACGACTTCAGTTCTTATTCAAGATCAGCGTAATGAGAGCAGGCCATTGTTGTCTTTAAAGGATGACAACACATTTCAGGTGAGGCTCTTTGTTAAACAATGCTGTACGAGTAAAAACTCGATGTTTATTTGTCAATTTATTATTTAAATAAGAAAGAATTTATCGGAAAGATTCTTGAAAATTTTGTTCTTACCATCTGAAAACCTATTTAATCATGCAACAAAGATTGCTGCTTTTTGCTGACATGTTCTTGATTCGTTTCCGGTCGAAGCAAACATTCGATAGGAGGCAGATGGTAACGACACCTGCATCTTCATCATCTAATGAAGGAAATGACAAAATTGACCCCGATCAATACGATAATGACCTTCAGCTCCAGTTGCTACGCAGGCCAGAATTATGGTATTTGTAAGAGTAATCGAACTATCATCACCTACTTTTACTATTTCTCATTACGTTTTCGTCTGTTAATTTTTCTCAGATAGAATCCTTTAGATGAATATCTGATTATAATTATATTACTCGTTAAATTTCAGATGGTCGTCTTTACAAAAAAAGGAACACCCCTTTCCTACGACGACACCAAATTCCTTACCTAGTACAGCCGAAAACGTAACCGGTGCAGAAGCGAACCATGTTCTCGCACTTGCAAGAGAAGCCTTTTCGGCTTGCAAAGAGGCAGCCTCAATTGCTGAAGATGCTCGGCTTTATGACAACTCCTCTAGTACAAGGTCCGTAGCTTACTTTATTCGCATTTTTCGTCTTCTAATAGACACCTAAAACACGTTTCTTTTTCGTGTGGGTTTTTTTTCCAGAAGTTTGGTAGGTTCTCCCGTACAAAGAATTGTGAGGTCAAAACGTCGTCTTGAGAGGCAAGCTAAGAGAAGGGCACCAAAGCCACAATTAGAGGATCAAGAAATGAACCATCGCAGAAAGCTAGAACCACATAAAAAATCTAGTGAAGGATATGACCCAAACGACCCTCTTCGACTCTTTTTATGGGGACCAGAAACAACACAACTTTTATCCGCAAAAGAAGAAGCAGACTTAATAGCCAAGATACAGGTCCTTTTTTTCGTTTGGAGATACCCTTTTTTTTTGGTTTGAATCAGATTGTAACTATACATAATATAAACGATTTTTTTTTTGTTATAGGAATTGATGAAACTGCAAGAAGTGAGAAGTCGGCTCCAAACTCAGTTTTCACGCGAGCCTACATTAGTTGAGTGGGCTGCAGCCGTTGGGATTAGTACTCAAGCTTTGCAGTTCCAGGTTAACTGTGGGAATTTCAGTCGAGAGAAGTTAATTTATGCCAATTTCCGATTGGTCGTTTACATTGCTAAGCAGTACCAAGGGCGTGGTCTAAATCTTCAGGATCTTTTGCAGGTGAATCGGAGCTTACATGTTTAAAACACACACACACACACACACACACACACACACACACACACACGCATATATTTATGTATTGTTTTTGAAGATTTGTTGGTTTGTTGTATATAGCTGGGGAGCATGGGTCTAATGAAGAGTGTCGAAAAATTCAAGCCGCTAGTCGGCTGCAGATTTGCTACGTACGCATATTGGTGGATAAGGCAATCAATTAGGAAATCCCTGTTTCAGCATTCTAGAACAATCCGTTTACCGGTAATGAAAATTTTGCTTATTTAAATTTTCGAGGGAAAGTTCGTTTGTTCATAAAAATTGTCTCTTTTTACAGGAGAATGTTTATACACTTCTCTCTAAAGTGTACGAAGCAAAGAAAACGTGCATAAAACAAGGTAATCATCAACCAACGAAAGAGGATATAGCAGCAGCTGCTGGTTTATCTGTCGAGAAACTCGATAGATTGCTATATACTTCTCGAGTTCCTCTTTCTATGCAAAAACCCGTCTGGATGGATCAAGACACTACCTTTCAGGTCAATCAATTTTTATTTATTTTTAATTATTTTTTTATTTTTTATTGCAAATAAGCTAACAGAGGATTGTTTTGATTGGTACAGGAGATAACGGCAGATACTGCAGTCGAAGCTCCAGATGTTGGTGCATCGAAGCAGATTATGAGGCAGCACACACGGAATCTTTTGAGTGTTTTGAATCCTAGAGAGAGAAAAATTATCCGATTGAGATTTGGGATTGAAGATGGGGAACAGAAATCGCTGTCTGACATCGGGGCTGGTTTTGGACTGTCCAAGGAGAGAATAAGACAAATCGAAAGCCGAGCGCTGTACAAGCTCAAACAGTGTCTTAGCAGCCACGGTCTAAGTGCTTATGCGGAAATGCTCGTTTAGTTCTTGATTTGATGCTGTAATTATAGCTTCTTTATGCACTACTAAACTCCTTTTTGTTTATATATAATGCGGTTCGTTGTTGTTTTGGTGCAAGTGAAAATGTTCGGGTTCGAACGTGTACATAAAACTACCACCATTTTTCGTTTTTTTGCCCCGTTAAATTTCTTTATATTTGAATTACGTTGTCTCTATATAGAATGTCAACTGTTGGAAGTTTTGAATTGTCTTACAATTTTTGAATTATGTTGTTTCTAAAATCGGATATTTTGAATCGAAATCGGACAAATGAAGCCCTTATAAAGTTTACAACACAAGCGTCCCACAGAACACGAGCTCAACCAGATTCTCGATTCTCATACGTAAATCTCCAGATCAAGTTTCACCACCGTGCAGACTGCCAACAAGAGAAGAGTACACATCATCATCAGGTCTAATACCACCCTCTTTCATCTCATCGTACAATCCAAAAGCTTCGTCCGATCTCCCCTCTTTCGAAAGCCCCGACATCAAAACCGTATAAGTCTTAATACTCGGAATTACCTTTTTACCCTTCATCTCCTCAAAGAGCCTCACAGCCTCGTCTATATTCCCGTCTATACATTCTCCCTGCATAAGAGATGTGTACGTATAAACATCTAAAACCAGCCCTTTATCTTCCATCTTCTTTCTCAACACATAAGCTTCTTTCATCATACCCCTTTTGCAGTATCCATCTATTAAAGAATTGTACGTCAGATTATTCGGTTTTTCTCCCTTCTTCTCCATCTCGTTCAACATTCTTTCCGCTTCGATAAAGTTACCTTCTTTTCTGTATATATCGATTAGTGTTGTGTAAGCAACTGTATTTGGGGCGACACCCTTTTCCACCATTGAGAATAGCAACGTCTTTGCTTGCTCGTGCTGCTTTAGTTTGCATAGGCCGTTTGCGAATATGGTGTACGTATAAACATCGGCTTGTAGCCCTTTTCTCTCCATAACATCTTGAAGCTTTCGAGCTTCGTTAATCATTCCTTGCTTGCAATAACCGTCCATCAATGTGTTGAATATCACTCGATTTATGTCTATTCCTTTACTTTGCATTTCATTGAGCAACACTTGTGTGCCCTCCATTTTCCCCGTTTCGCAAACTGCATGTATCAACGAGCCGTAAATGTGCGCGTTCGGCTTGAGGCCTTTCTCCACCAACTCGTCGAACAGAGCGAATGCCCTTTTGACATCACTTGACTTACTATACAAATTAATCATTAAGTTGTAGACATGAATATCTGCAGCCACATTCTTCTCGAGCATTTCGTCGAACAGCTTCTGTGCGTCTTCGATCTTGAAATATCTGGCACGCCATTCAATCAAGAGAGTATAAGTTGCCACACTGAAGTCCACCCCTGCTTTCTCCATGGCGGCCAAGACGTCTTCGACTCCTCTACTATCCGATTTCTTCAGATAAGCATCAATCAGTGTGTTGAAAGTATACGCATTCGGTTTAACCCCCTTTCGAACCAAATCGTTCATCAAATTCCTTGCCTTTTCGACTTGTTTTCGTTTGCACAATCCGTCGATCACCAACGTCATCGCATAAACTGTGATAATCACATTGGATTCCACCATCTTTTGAAAGAATTCGTACAACGACTCGAACCGGTCCAATTTTTTGTACGCAATCAAGTAAACCATGCAAGAACGCTCATCAATCACAAACCCATATTTAACCATATAGTCGAACACCTCCAAACCCTCGCGAAATCTCCCGCAGTCGGCAAAAACCCTGAACAGCATATCGAAAAACCTGGTCTTTACTTTGGGTTCGACGCCATTTCCAGCGACGAACGAAGCTATTTCCGGGAGTGGGCGGCGGACATCGTCGTCCGCGACGGCGGCGCTCATGACGCACTTGGCCTCCGCGAACCGCCGGACTCCATACAGGCGGAGAATAACTGCTACGTGGGATTCGAAATTGGGTTTCTGGGGGGCAATTGAGCGATTCGTCTGCAGAAAATTGAAGAAGCGCCAGCAGGATAAGGTGGGGAGGCGTGGGTTGGAGAGAACAAGGTGGATTATTTGGGGATTAAGAGATGAAATTAGGGATGGTGGAATGTTTAGGGATTTTGAGGTCGAATTGATTAGGGATTTGGTGATGAAATCGGCTGTGTGTTCGTTGGATTTTGAAGCAAAACTGGAGGAGCTGAAAACTTGCTTCGCAGTGTTGTAGAATTTCTGATTCGACATTGAAACAAATGCAACTCTGTAAAACTTCTCACTTCTACTAATTATAGTTTGAAATTTGGTAATTATAAATTTTCGTTAATTAATAATAAATTTATTATTTATTTATTGAGATATGAATTATAATTGGTTGATTATAAATAATCGATTAATTATTTTACTATATTGGGCCACAAGTTAAAGCCCCAAAAAACGAGCCCACTGAATTGAGAGTTCAAGCTTATTATATATATTGACTAAATACATAATTAGTGGAAATAGAATCATACTTTAATGGGGATTCTACGACTAATTAATATAAATAAGACCTCAAGCTCATGCATGGTAAAATGTACGTTCTAACTTCTAACAAATCTATCGAGTCTTATTGATCTAGTGCTCTCTACCCTATCTTCTGTGCTACCATGCATCTAACTTGAGCGTGGGAGATGTTTCTGTCGGATCAATCTCGGCTTAGTTCACGTGTTTTGGCTTAGTTCAAGTCTTCCTCTTTGCGCGGTTGGATCATCTGCTCGCGTGCAAAAAACCTACCCCATGCTCCCGTCAAATCTATCAAGGTGATCTATACATCATCAATAATCTCTAGTTTGTACATGTTTTACGACATTCGAACTTCATATTTTGAAACAAAATGATCATAAAATGTGTCTCTCGACTTGTAAATATCAGATTGTGGTGCATCAAAAATTGCGTTTTTGCACAAAACGAATATAACATTTCACGAAATTTAGAAGATTATATTGAATTTGACGCCACAAGGATGGACATGTAAGAAGATTTATAGTTGATGTGTGATTGTAATTTTCCCGTTATTTTATACAAAACAATGTATATAAGCATGTCAGTTAATTAAATCCTTAACCAAGACTGTACAAATGATCCAAATCACACAATCCAATAATAATAAACTTTGTTCTACGCTTGCATGTGGCATGCATGTGCTTACAATTACTCTCAAATTAAAGTTATATTATCCAATCAATATGAGATCAACCCGACTAATTAATCCCCACACTATTAAAATAATTAATTAAAAGAAACCTCAAAATACTAGGTAACCGAGCAGCTGGCAATTTTGTGTTCAGACTACAGTTTCAAGAATCAAGTCATATGAAACATATAAGTTTTCGTGAAGTTTAAGAATGTGCTGGCCAGGCTTCAACGAAATTTAATATTAGAAAAAGGGCATTTCTTTTTATTCGATTTAGGCTACAAAATAACTCGAGACGACTCTAGTTATCGATGTATGCTGAATTAATCGAAGTGTGAAACCGAAGATTACGCAGTAATTGGCGCAATTAGAGAATCCTCAGACTCTGACAGAAGGATGTCTAAATTATGTTTTGCTGCATGTGGAAAAATGCCTTGAACTCTAAGATTAATTAATGCTTAATTAAAAAAAAAAATCTCGAAAACCACATCTAGCGCAAATTGATCTGCGTTTGCTGTCGATCGATTAATTAGTTGAATAAATTATCCAATTAGCTAAAGTAATTGATCTACGTTTGCTGTCGTATTTCATGTTATATATATATTTATATGTCGAATTAAAACCCAACGTAAGATGCACCAAACCGGCAAAAAAATTCGCATGGCAAATTTATTGACATTTTAGTGGTCCTCGTGCATTCTTTATCATCAGTAAATATATCTTCTTTCGTACACACAATTTAAATTAGTGCAGGTTTGCTCTAATTCGACAGTAGGCTCTAAATAATATAGTCTAGAAACATACGAAAAATTCGTACATCGTCAAACCGGACAAATTGTTTTGTAATAGGTGTAGTTACATAATCAAATCACAAGTGGTACAGTTTGTTCCAAATATTTGCTCAAATTTCATGTTTGAAGATTCAAAATCAAAATTGCATCTGGATTTTAATTTACACCAATAAGCATGGGGTGGGGGTGGGGACCAAAGTGAAAATCCTTAAACTTAGGATCCCCATAGATCCTGTTGTCGATCGACAACAATTAAACCAATCTGATGAAAAGTTGTCCCTACCATTTATTTCATCTCCTGTTTTTGTTCCTGTGTTAATTTACATTTCATCTGAATTTTAGAGTATGGTAAAAATTATTTAAAAAAAAAAAGTTTCAAATGGAGAGAAACACGAAATCTTGCATACATATAAATATTAAATGATTCACCTGATCGATCAGTTATAACAACTTGAAGAATCGTTCAACATGGTATCAAAGTCAGAGTGATTAGATCAGATGAAATAGAACTAAGCAAAAGTTCTTGATCCAGTATTTATATCAAGAAAAGAGAATAAATAATACTTGTAATAGTATAGAGAAATTTACCTTGGGTATAAATTAAACACCGGTACGTACGTGTACACGTGGCGATCGAGAGCCGGGTATTTGCTAATGCAGCATCATCAAGATTCTCATTTGTGCATCATCACTATACAGATATAAGGTGCTAGATAGTGCTAACTGAATGTGAATCTTGATAACACTGCATTTGCAAACAACGACTTTATATATATCTATATATGTATATCTGCTCCATACATATAAGCATATGTGTATGTGGTTCTTGAGTCAGACAAGAATGGAAGAGAGAGAGAGAGAGAGAGAGAGAGAGAGAGAGAGAGAGAGAGAGAGTTTGTAACCCTAGCTAATTAAGAGATGGAAATGAAACGAGGTTTGTTTATTATTGGCAAAAATAAAATATTCCACCGCCGGCGGTGTGGGAGTGTGTGTGGATGAGATGATGATAGGGATATAATATAAGTGTATGCATAACATATTTGGAGTAGTTCAGATGTCCACGCTTGCTTCCAATGTACTAGGTTTTATACTAGGTTTGGCTTACATATGCTCATTTGGCATATACCTCAACAATTAAATATTAATTTTTTTATAAAAATATATAATTTTAAAATTAATATTTTTGTAACTGACCAATACAAGTATTTTTATTTTCCTGTTTAATACAAATAAACTCGATCTAGAAAGAGCGTTATTCGCTACAAATAAATTAGTATGTTTTTATTATGGACAGCTGTAGCTATTAAATTCGCAATATTAGCATTTATTTTGCAATAGTACATATATACATCAAACGTTTCTTTAATTTTTAATTTTCAAGCCATATTTTGTCATCCATTATTCTGATTTTTCTTTTTTTTAATTTGTATTTTGAATTAGAATTCATTTGTTACACAAAAATGATTAAAGATTGGATATTAGTAAAAGAATTTTTTTTCTGAGCGGCTAGTGGTCCCTTTGCGCAGCTGGAATCTATTATCATCAATTTGAAATAAATTAAATAATATTGTCATGCTCTTGCATTATATTAACTACATAATAATAATAATAATAATAATAATAATAATAATAATAATAATAATAATAATAGTAATAATAATAATAATAATAATAATAATAATAATAATAATAATAATAATAATAATAATAATATATGACCTCATAATATTGTCGATTGAAAATATTTTCTTGAATAAATAAAAACATTATTATACCAACAAAATAGAAAATTGATATTTTAATGCGATGTATAGTTCAAAAAATGAAGTAGTATCTGGTACAGGCTGGAAGCATCTCCCGAAATTGGTGGTTAAGAATAAGATTTGCTTAATTAATCTAATTAATCAATTATCTTTGTGATTAATTTCATATACATAAATGGCGTGATTAGAGTTGTACACATGCTTCTTCCGCTAACTAATGTGGTTTATTTATTTATTATTTATTATATTACAAAAGCTCATGATCATAATTCATATGATTCCATCAAAGAAAACTTTGAGCAAGATAAGGTAGAATGCCTCCATCGTGGCTAACAACCTAGTACCACAGCAAAGCAAAGGTGCGCCCAACCACCAAATGCCACGTGTATCCGATTCAACTCTCCAATTAAATAACTAGGGGTTGTCTAGGGTCCGAGAGGGCTGTACTTCTCGGACCGTAAAACATTTAATCTGGTGCGTACAAAACATCCAAGTTTTAATCTTAGCCATTAATTTTATGTACGACATATGTACGACCCAGTACGACACTAGAAATTTAAAAATTAATGTACGAACCTAGTAAAAACACATCGTTCACCATCGTACACAGATCGTACTTTATATAAATTAATTAATTAACCTTATAAATTCAAATCAATAAATTAAAATATTATTAAATATAAAAATCATAATCACTTAAGAAAATTGCACGAAGTCTTAACAAAGAAAAAAGATCATCCACTTTTTCCATGACCAATCTTCTTTCGCACATAGATAGAGACGCAATACATGATTTTTTTGTGGGTTCCATCTCCCCTCATGGCGAACTCCGTCGAGATAATTAGAGTTTTAATTTATGGCAGATCTCCCCCTGGCGTTACGACTTTTTTTAATTTTTTTCCTTAGTGTTGTTATCGCGAATTGTGGTGGAGGAATGAAAATCGATGGTTGTGGTAGGTTGAACGGCGACGGATGAGAGAATTCCGTATGGGACATCGATCTGAGAGCGATATAGACGCAAAAGCGGCAAATATGGGTTATAGTTTGGAGTTTTTTTTTCAATTTTTTAAATTTAGTTTTCATATTTGGATTTAAAACTTAATTAGAAAATTGAATCCATGAAAATAAGAACATTTGTGTTTTGTGTTTCTTTTCTTTGCTATTCTTGTGGATTTTACTTAAATCTTGATATAGTTCGTGCGAATGAGCTTTGAAAGCTTTTAAAATTATTGCCTAATTTTCCTTTTAATTGTGTGTTTTGCGTTTTTGTTTTGTTGGCTGCTCTATTATTTGATCAATGTATTATGTTTCTTGAATGTAGCTAGGCATTTTCTTATTTTTTATGATGTGATTTGCAGTTAAGAACAATCAGATATTCAGATGTTTACATTTCCTGACATATATAAATCCTCATAGTTGTCTTGTTTATAATTTGTGAAAAATGGTTCCTTTTTTGGTCCATTTTTTAAGAAATATACAACTTCTGCAAACTACGTGTTTCCGAGTATATATGAAAAC